AAATAGAAATAGAAATAGAAAAATCATCTTTATTCTGGGACTAAGTCCCTTTAGAATAACAGTATTGTTCATATATATTAACTATAAATCTGGTCAAAAGACGTATTACAATGAATAATAACAAAATACATGTAATACATTAAGTATTAATTAAGCTCTTAGGATAAATTAACGAGGACAGTTGGGTAATAGGGGTTCAGTACTACAATATTGGAACTAAAATAATTGCATAATAATCACTGAATGAAATTAGAAAGGAAAGTAAAATCTATTTTGTAGGTAAAGCATTGTAGTGATGGAATATAAAAATTAAAAAAATAATAATAACTGTTAATATGTAGGGAAAGAAATTGTAAAAACTAAAACAAAAAAAATATAAAAGAAACAAATAATGATATACATATGTTCCCTAAGATATTTAAGTGATTATGCGTAAAGATTAGGAGAAGAGAAAATAAAATAAAGTATACATATACACATAGCGAGAAGTATGTTGAAGATAATTAGAAATAAAATACCTTTCACTGAAATACATTTCATGAATAACTAATTAGAACTTAAGAAAAACAAATTTTATCTACTCACAATGCTTAGTGAGTGGTGATGAAAATTCACGTTCAACATAGAATAAAACAATAAAAAATAAGAGAAAAAAAAATAATGTCTAAAGAAAATTAAATCCTTATAACATGTATTTAACAGCGTCTGATTGGATTGTGAAGAGGAATTGGAATAAGAGGGTTTTAAAGGTGGATGAGGATGATGCATGGCGGATTTTTAGTGGGATGGAATTCCAGAATGCAGTGGAACGGACAACGAAGGAATGTTTAAATGATGCAGATCTGTGGAAAGGAGTGTAAAGGTCAGAAGGACGAGATCTTGTGGAGAGGGTGTGGATAGATGATTTGAATTGTAGGAGATTGTATGCGTAGGACGGACGATGACTATTGATTATTTGGTAAAGGAATGTGCCTAGGAAATATTGTCTTCGGAAGGAAGGGAAGAGCCATCCTAATTCAGCATAGTGGTGCGAAACACGGGAATACCTCAGGGCCCCTGTGACAAATCTTACGAAGGCATTCATAATTCTTTTCAGTCTCTTCCCGAGTTCTGCCGAGAGGCCACCGTACACCACGCAGCCGTAATCAAGGTGGGGGAAGATGAGGGAAGTTACTAGGAGTCTGCGTGTGGATATGGGTAGGAGATGGCGGAAGCGATGGAATAGTTTCAAGGTACCAATTGACTGTCGGGTAATGTGAGCAATATGGTGTTTCCAGGATAGGGTTTGGTCTATGAAAATGCCTAGGTTTTTTACTGAGGAGGTGAAGGTAATGGGATGGTCATTTAGGTACAGTATAGGTATGTTGGTATTGGCTCTGAGAAGGGGTTTGGAACCAATGACAATGGCTTGAGTTTTTGCAGCGTTTAACCTTAATCCATTTAAGTTTGCCCAGGCACTGATCCGATTCAAGTCTTCTTGAATTTTGGCAAACGCTTCATGCAACTCTGAGGGATGGAAGGAAAGGTAGATTTGGGAGTCATCGGCGTAAAGGTGATGGGAGCAGTGAAGGATTGAATTATGGATGTCATTGATATAAGAACTAAAAAGGAGGGGAGATATGCTAGAGCCCTGGGCCACTCCTGCGGACAAAGTAAGATAGGAAGACAATGGTTGATTAGGAATAGCGACAGCTTGTGAGCGTTGGGAGAGGAAAGATTGAAACCATAGGATAGAACTATGGGAAAAGGATAATGATTTTAATTTGAAAAGAGAATGGAATGGTTGATGGAATCAAAGGCTTTGGAAAAGTCAATGAGTATAAGGACAGTTAGTTTTTTGTTATCAATGGCGGACTGAACATCATTAATGATTTTGATTAGGGCGGATTGTGTGGAATAACCTGGTCGGAAACCAGATTGGTAAAGGTCAAGTTTATTGGACTGTTCAAGGAAGTTGGAAACTTGGGATTGCACAATTCTCTCCAGGGGTTTGGAAAGGTTAGAAAGGATTGAGATTGGCCGGAAATCTTCAGGGGAAGACGGATTAGAATTTTTATTTAAAGGACGGACTGTGGCTTTTTTCCACAAGGAAGGGAATACTGAATTTTGAAGGGAAAAATTGTAGATGAAAAGGAGTACCGGAAGGATTTCAGGGAGGCATAATTTAATTAATTTGACGGGAATGCCGTCTGGACCAATAGAATTAGAGTGTGATTTCATCACGGCGGATATGAGATCTGTGGGAGAAATATCTGAAAAATAAAAATCGGCGTCATTGAAAGATGTTCCAGGAGGAAAGAAGGAAGGGGGAAATGAAGGAGTTGAAGAGGAAGCAGATATAAAATAAGAATTTAAGTCATTTGGTGAAACTGGGGGCACTGCAGAGGGAGGAGATCTGGTAGGATCACAAAGAGAGAGTTTACGAAGGAGTAGCCATTTGGATTTGGAATCAGGAGCTGAGGAAAGGGCTTCATGGAAATAGGTAGATTTGGCTCGTCGGATTGTGGTTTGTGTCAGGTTGCGGAGCGCCCTGAACGCTTGATAGTCGTCAGGCAATCTAGTGCGTCTAAAGCGACTGTGAATGAAGGTATAAATTTTCCCACAAGATGTATCACTAAAATTAATAAAAAAAAATGTTGAAATTGGAGTTAGTCATTCTGTCCACTGAAAAGCTGAAAAATTTTACACAACTTTTATTTTTATAAATCTATTTTTTAAAAGTTAAGTTAAAGCAATTAATTTTGCAAAAAGTAAAATAAAAAATGGTAATTTTGCAGGCGATTGTTAATATGAGAATGAGGCAATTCATTCAAGATAAATTATATCTGTTATCTAAGCCCAATTACTCCTTATTATTCATTTAATGTTAATTTTTTTTTAAAGTACATAAATAAATAAAAGTTAAATTTTTACTTTTGAACATATTTCATTACAGAGGTCAATCTAAACAGTTAATAGAAAACTTTTTTAGAAAATTTCAACCTCCTTGTAAAATGAGATTTAAAATGAAAAAAAAAAATCATTTCATAAAATACTGTTTTTAATTAATCAAATAAAAAAAACTAACAAAATACATTATCACATTTAATATTATTTAACACAGATATTCTGAAGCTTAATTGTATATAAATAGAAAATTTACTAATTAGTTCATCTTATTTATTAAAATTTATTTATCAAAGTTATAATAAAATTCTTATGACTAACACAAATTATTAAAACAATGACCATTAATTATAAGATAATAAAAAGCAGATTCTTGTTTATTCAGAATCATAAATAAAATCTAAAAATATTTTTTTGTAAAGAATTATAATAGAATCCATGTAAAAAATCTGGTATCTTTCACTTAACCAAATGATTTAAGTTGGAAAGATAACAATAAATTATAGTAATTTTCAGAATTTTTATAAATGCTCATACTTAACAAAATTTAATTTTACTATACAAATAATAATAATTATGGCAATACTGAAATCTCAAAGTTAACATAATAACATCTCTGAGATTATATTCAAGATTACAAATTATTACAATAAATACTTACAAAATAAGCAACTAAGGTATACTTTATATGAAAAAATTAAGGTTTCTTACTAATAAAACCATATAATGATAAGTAAAAACAGATTTAAAATCTATTTTGCATTAAAGCACTTAATTAAAGTTCAGAAGCTACAAGCAAATTGTATAAGCTATCATCTGGAAGCATTGGTATAATTAAACGAGTACAGTCAGGATTCAAAGTAATTACATATCTCTTAGCATTGGTTACTGACATTTTTAACCGCTTCAATCTTCTTAATAACCGTCCTCTTTCTACATATGGTGTCATTTTGGGTATGGTGAATTCTTGAAAATATGGAAATTTTTCTTGCATTTCTTGTTGTAATTTACTGTATGTTGTATGTATTGCTTTCATCTTAATTTTCTTTTCAACTAATGCATCAAATACTGAGTATTTACCAAAAATATAATGTTTTTTCAAATTAACAACTTCCCTACAACAGTAGTCCATTAAACCTATAATATAATCTCTGTCAGGTTTAGGACATGCATCCTCACCAATATATACCACTTTTTCAAACTTACCATTACAACAGAGAACATGAACTTTAGCAATCATCTTGCACAATTTCATATCTCTACTAATGGTGTAACCTATACAATTAGCTCTTCTATTCCTCGGATAATCCCAAAATACATCATCGTTAACAGACCCATACTCACACAATAATTGAATAACCGCTTTATCCCTCTTATAATTTCTTAAAGTCCGCTTAAAATTAGTATAAAAACTTTTTACCTATCTATGACAGACAATCAAAATCTGTATAGTAAACTTTACAATGGGAAATAACAGTTTAATAATTAATAGGCGTTGAATCTTTAATAATTTACTGGTTGAATATAGAGATATACTTTCAGATCTCTCTAGGCATATATATATTGCTCAGAGACTAGAATTATGTGGTTTACAAAAACAGATGGAGTACCAAGGTTTTTGTTGTTTACCGTTGATATAATTAATAGGGTTTTTGTTATTTTAGTGATGTTAATGATTTGTTAGCTGTAAACTTTAAGCTATAGCTCCGTTAAAAGTGCACTCCAAAAATTTTATAATTGCCAGAAAATAATTTCTATTCAAAGTAGAAAGGTAAGTGAAAGTTGTGTGTTGCGCGCACCAAATTTTTTCTTCACTAATTGCTGAGAATCAACTGTAGGGGATATTTTCTACAATAATAACTATTGCTGTTTTTGACTATATCAAAACCTTTTGTAATGTTTTAAAATCAGAACGTCCGAAAATAACGTGTATGATAGTGTATCGCTATGTTTTACAGAATATTTTACTGACGTTTATAAATTAGAATTGTAATTGTTCCAAGTTAGTTAGTGATTTATAACCATTTTACGTATGTTGGGGGGGGAGAGCTGAGCTATTGTGGGTCTAAAAAAAAAAAAAAAAGTTAGAGAACTTATAAGCGGCTTTGCAAATAAAAACTTTGTTAAAATGAAATAATTTGTTTAATTTTAATTAAAATGCTTTTATTTCGCTTAAAACTAAAAAAAAAAATAAGGAAAGAAAAATGAGCAGATGTGCCGTTCAATCGAGGAAGCAGTGGCTAGGCACAAGTCCATGAGGTTTTAGCACGTTTCTTCAAAATTTGTAGTGTAATTTTCCCCCCGACTCCTAGCATGGCCAGCACAGCCTCAGACAAAGTGAGTTTTTCTATAAATCTGCCAAATTGTTATGTTTTTTTTACTTTATAGTTCTAGAAACATGTTTTTCGAAAAGATGGGGTGATGTTTCAATAATCCTACTCTATTATTATTTATGTCCTACTGATAGATTTGTTTTCGTTATTTCCAACCACGATATTTGTCGTAATGTTTCAATACTTCTATAAATAACATTATATACTTTAATTGCTAAACCGTCGGTTTTAATTGTCCTCCTGAGACATAAATCCTTTAGCATATGAAAACTTGTAAATGTTCAGGGAGTATCTCAAGTTTTGAAAAATAAGTCTTTAGTTACAGTTGATACATTATTATACAATTTCTTATATTTTGAATTTCATAACTATCTTGGTAAATAAGTATGCATATTTTATGATAGTGAAGTATTTATACTTCATATCTGTATGTGTGTTTTTGTATGTTTAAAATTTGTACTAAAGACTGTAAAATTAAAACAGGCTTTATCTAATTGCAGAATATGTCTGTTAATCCTCTGTTAATTTCTTTTACAAATTGTTATTGCAAATATGTAATTAAAATTTAATTTCTTAGGTATAGATAATAATAGTTTTGTTGCCCTTGAGAAATTAAAATACAATTAGTGAAATCAATGGTATGTGTTGTTGAGCCAAATATAGTCTTTAAATTGTTTACCTTCAGTTAATATCATAGCTTTTAAAATACGAAGCAATCATTTTAGGTTTTATTCAAATACTAAGTATTAAAAATTCAAGAGTCATTGTTTATAAGATTTCAATATTATCCATTTCTTGTACTTATCTGTTCATTGTAACAAACTCATATCCATTACATGTGTGTTTCTCCTTTTGTCTCTTTTTTATCTCCCTTTAAGTTCCAGCATTTAAGTTGAATTTTTGTTCCTTAAACTTCAATAAACTATATGAATTGAAACTTAAAAAATAGGAACCTGTTCAAGAGATTAATCATCAATTATTAATGGTTAATTTACGAATTGATAATTTGTTGCCGGATGTTATTCTGTATTAACAAATTATTATATGTAAATGTTTAAATCTGACTAAACACTGCTTATTAGGTAACATAACCTACTATATTAATAAAATAAGTTATAAGAACAATGTTGCTTATGTTATTGTCATATGTATTGGCCTTAGGGTTTTCACTTATTTGAAAATTCTTATGCGTTAATCTATTTTAACAAGAGAAAATTTGTACTGAAGAGTTGTTTTCCGAAATTGATTGAAAATAAGCCAAGAATTTAGTGTATGATTTATTTGTTAACTTAATCATAGTACACATTTTATAATATGTATAATTCCAGCCTTTGCTTTGCTTTATCACATTTACTTATTCCTTTTCGTAATAGTACTTTGGAGTCACCCTTGATAACCTATTTATACATAATGATTTAACTCACTTCAAAATTTCAGTATTTCATTTCCTTAGCAACTCTCTTGTCTTTTATTAGTATAATAATTTTAGATGGATGGCAATACTTAATGTGGCAATATTGTACAAGTGTCATTTCATTTTGGTAAGTTGCATAAGATCTACTGATCACACCATAAATGAATTCCCAAGAAGGGTATAGTGTATCTGAAAATAGACGGAAGTGACCGGACCATCTGTTAAGACTAATAGCTCAACAGATAAAGACCTGTTGAGGGTTTGTTTATCTTTTCAGGGAGTAGAAGTTGTAATCAGTGATGAAATTAAATCCAATTAAGCTCATTCCTGAGCCTATTTAATTCTATTAAGTAATTTTAATTATAGTTTAACGTTCTTGACCCACTGGTCTTAGTGGTCACTTGTTCTATGGTACAATTTTCACCTACCTCTTTGGACCTTAACTTTAACATTAATCCACTGATCTACATAAAAATTGGCATGGCTCAAGATTCTTATATAATTCAAAAATGGTACAAATCTAACCTCTTTAAACAATGTAAAACTTGTTAAAATTTAAAAATTGATATTTAAAAAGGGTAAGTGCAGTAATTTAGCTTTCAAGTGGTTGTAACATTAAATTCAGAGAAAATTCTGAGGAGTTTTGCATCCTTCAGCGAAAGGCAAGAAGAAAATTCTTCCATCAAATTTAAGCCCATGACCTCCGCATGTTTTTCTTCTTTTTTCTGCTTTTAGATATTAACAAAATTAAAGGTGATTTGGTACGACTTATTAAGTGTTGATCTGTGGACTGGGCACAAAATCTTAAGATAAAACACTGAAATTCAGAAAATGATTTAGTGTATCAGAAAACTGACGAAGATGTTCAAGCCCTCTGATAAGATACTCATATCATCCTCAAAAGGTAAAATCCCCCCTCCCGTGCACCGGGTTGTATATGAAGCTAGTAAGGCTCGGATTTTCACTGAAAAAGACCAGTTGGGAATTGAAGTCGTAAGTCCTGATCTAAATGAAAGGTTATACTTTTGGACATTAACATGTAGACTTTTGGAATTCGGTTTATAGTGTGATCATGGGATCTTGTAATGTAGCAGAGGTAATTCCTTCCATTGGGGATTAAGATTACTTTCGAATTAAATTGTTCTTTTCATTTTTTTTTTAAGTCTTTTTTTTTTCTAATTTACTGAGTCACGTTTTAATATTGAACTTCAGAAATGTAATTGTAATCAGTTTTAATTATTTTTTTTTCCTTTCAGGTTCAGCAGTACAAGGACAGTTTAAAGCGAAAGGTACGTTTTGATACCCAGTTCATTTCTTGCATAATATTTATTTGCTAATTTATTTTGAGGAACATTGTTTAATTATCTCTCTTTATAAAAAAATAAAAAAAATGCTATTCATTCACTGATCTTTTGTTTTGTGACTATTCTCTCTCAAAATTTAAAATATCTATGAAGCTGAAATTTGCAATTTTAATTTTGCCTCCCTAAGCGTTGCGTTAAGATATAATTTTGAATAATAGCCCATTACATTGGGGATGAAATGCTGATTGATTCCTGCGATTACGGTATGCTGGTTCGAATTTTGGTTTCTGAGTCTTTTTAATACATATATCTTCAATAAAACTCGTTATCATTTGGTCTTTGACACCATTTTTCCCTTTTCACCTCTCTATCACGGCATCGCGTTAAGATACAATTTCGTATAATAGGTCATTATAAAGAGGATGAAGTGATGATTATTTCCCTTGCTAACAAAATGCTGGTCCAATTTTTAGTTTAGATATTTTAATCCATATGCAAAAACGCTTCAATTAGCCGACTTTACCTGTGCGTTGCACATCGGAGATCTGATGACTCAATCTAATTCACTTTCTTCAAAAAATAATTTTGAAATCTTTAAAATAAAAACTATTCTCCAGATAACTCGAAAACTCTAATCCCCTAGGAAACTATAGGTACACATTCTCTTTTTTGTTTATCTCACTTCTATTCGACAGCAATTATTAAAGTATGCCGCAACTCTTAACGTTTTAGGGAAGATTCTCTGTTGCAGCCAACAGGGAGATAAACTCCTCCAATGGTAATCCGCTCTTGCAGTGAAGATATCCTGTGTTACATTTTTCCTGTTATAACAACAGAAAACTAGTATCGTACATTTTGGTACGATTTGGCGGCATTCAAAAATAGATATCTTAATATTCCTGTTAGTTCAGAACAGACTTGGGTAGTATTTCAAATAACATATTTTAAAATACAAAATGAAATACATTGTTATTATTTTGTATTTTAAGAGGGGAACGGGTAGCTCAGTGAGTGAGCATTGACTTCCAGAGTTCAAGGTCTCGTGTTGGAATCCGGTAGGAATGAAAATTAAAAGTTATGAAAAATTGCTAGTCATCAGCCGTGAATGGACCCTCCTGAGGCACACCCAGCCTCTATTAAGGAGTGAAAACCTTGCGGTTGAGCATGATTTCGGTCCAATTACCTGTGCAACCGTTGGCCTTGTAATAGAACCTCCTGACTTAGTACTGAACCAAAGACACTTCATGGGTTGTAGTGGTATAGGTTTTTTTTTTTTTGTATTTTAAGAAGTAAAATGTAAAATAAATTGTAAGTGTATTTTCTCGTTAAATTACAAAAAATGTTTTATATTTTATATACACAAAATAAAGTACCAAATTGAGTAAGTTCCCTGTATTATTTGTTGATCTTCCATATAATACCAGGGAATTTTAAAGCATACAATACTGTATTTTAAAATAATATTTGAATTAAATTTTGCCTATGTCTGGTTCAGAAGAAGTCTATGTTACTGGTACCTAACTCTCAATGCCTTTTCTCTGTCATTATTTATTTTGTGTGAACTATCTTTGCTTCTAATAGAGTAAGGTAATAATTATAAGCTCTGGTCCAAATATTCTTAACATGCGATACTCAAATCGAAGGTTTGTTTGTTGGATTCTTAATATTGTCAAACATTCCAACCCATATATTAGTACTAGTTTTAGTACTGGTTTGATTATGTTTTGTATATACACAGCTTAGTTGTGCCTTAGAACACTGTTATTTGAGGACCTGATGCGTCTCGGGAGCTTTCATTCAATTTACACTCACCTGGGAGTCAAGAAAATAGTTCTTACTAGACAATCAAAATGATTTAATTAAAGAGAGCTCTCCTTGTTTGCCACCAATATAACTTAGGAATATATATTAATATTACGTAACATTAGGATTTTATATATATATATAAATTAATCAAAATTTAATATTTTTCAGGCTGAACAGCTGATTTTGACTGGATTCCCCGAGAAAATAGTTCTATTGAATGAAATTTTGGAATCGCCAATTTTAAATGTAAAAGATCTGACAAACGTCCATCAGAAAGTGAACATCCCCATACCGGAACCTGTACAATTTAATAAGTGAGTATTTAAATGTACTGATATCGATGTTATATGTTGGTTTATTATTTCAATAAGGACCAAGAAACAAAGAAAATTTAACATCCTCAAAATTTGAACTTTTTTTTTTTTAATTTCACAGTATGTAAATTACAAGAGTATCCTCACCTATAAGGCTATACTGTCATTTTCCTGAGCCAAGGGAGAGGGTGGAGGATTAATACTTTTTTGAGTTTAAAGCTCTTTTCCCTCAAATAGTTCAATTACAAAAATCATAAGAGGGCAATTTTCATACTTAAATTTTTCGTGGTGCGAGATACCACACATATTTTATATGTAAGCATTTGAAAATAATGAACCATTGTGTAATGATTTGCAATGTTTTTAACTTTAAATAGGCTTATAAATATTATTTTCTATTATAAATACTTTTAAAATGTCAGAAGTTCTTATTTTGAAGATAAAAGGAGACCACAAACGTCTATAACTGATAATTTATTATCAGTTATAGATGTTTGTGGTTGAGATAAAAATACACATGAGGATTTTTTAAATTTCTTTTATAATTTCATTGGGCCTCTTTACATTAAAAATCTTGGTTCTCTTATAATCCTAATTTATACGGCGACAATGACATTGTTAATTCATAATTAACAGAACAACTTATGACAGAAAAACCTATTGTATATAGAACAACTGTTTCTTTAGAATTTATGATGTGATTATTTTAAAGAAGCCAACTCATTTATGAAAATAAAATAAATTAAATCTAATTACCAACATTAAACAAATATATAACAAATGCCCTCAGTCTCTATGAAATGGATATTCTTAATTAAAGTGAAAAACCTAGCGTATGAGCTTGATCTCGGCCCAAACATCTCCCCACACAACTGTTAGCCTTGGAGCAGTACTTCCTCACACACACACAAATATATATATATATATTTATATATATATATATGAAGGTTTTGAGATTAAAAGGGGTTTTTGTAATAACTTAATCATAAATTGATTAAATATAAAAAATAATTATATATAAAAAACTAAAAAAAAAAAAACATCTGCTAAGTAAGGCCAGTATAGCTTCCTCACAGTTTTCATTAGATAAACAATATCTGTATTTCAAAGTCTTTAATTTTTAATATAAAATTAAAACCTACGGGATAAGCCGTTTTTGGAAATATGGTAACATGTTAAAATTTACGGGTTTGATACCTACCAATTTTGTTTACCAGTGAATACTGAAATTCGGAAGAGTTTTCCAAAAAAGAAAATACATTTTATAGTTAATTAAACAATTGCTAATTTAGAGAAGTATGTATTCTACATACATGTATATTAATTTTTTTTTTTTAAACAAAACATTATTTCTAAAACAAAATAATATACACGTATGTAGAATACTTCTCTAAGTCAGCAATTGTTTAATTAAATATAAAGTGTATTTTCTTTTTTTCTCTGAACCTCCACTAGCAGTCTTTTTTTTGTATCTCCTCATTCTATCAAAACGTCGCTTGACCTGAAATTTAATAAATCATTTACAATGTCATAAATTAAATTTATTTTTCCTCATAAACACTATTTAATTAAAAGAAAAGAGGCAGAGGTAAAAGTTTTTAAATTTTTATATATATACTGTTTTTACATGAATTTTTCCTGTAATAAAGTGAAATTTGCCCAGAAAAGATTTTTAATGAAAGGAAAAGAAAAAAAAAAATGTAAAAAGTTTGTTTTTAATTATGACATTATAAATGATTTATTAAATTGCACATTAAGTGATGTTTTGATAAAATGAGAAAAAAAGACTATTTGTGGGGATTTGAAGAAGAAAAAAAGTAAAACATTTTATATTTAATTGAGCAATTACTATCTTTGAGTAGTGTTCTATATACATCTATAATAAAAATAATTTTTAGAAATAATGTTTTGTTTTTAAAAGAAAAAAAAATTTGCAAATAGCTTTCTTGAGCCGAAATCTTAAATAATAATCCTAGTTATATAAAAGTTTTTGTACAAACTTAATCATATATTGATAATTAGATATAGTATAAATTTCAAGTTCATAAATTTATCATAAGTTATCAAAACAGCAAATGTAATACTTTTGTATAGTTTACATGATGAAACTTGCTGCCATAATTATATTACTTTTCCCTCTGATATTTGCACATTTAGTTGATCTCTGTAACATATAAATAATTTGAGTGTTGGGTGATGCAATGTGGTTAACATGTGGTACCGATGGCGTACAACTTCATGTTTTTTTGGCTATTTAACAAACCTTCCCTTGAAAATTACCTTAACATTTTCTAGAAGTATTTTAATATGCACTAATGGCCTTAAGGTTTATTTGTTTTATTAGAATTTATTTCCGATTGACGATTGTGATAACAGATAACTATAAAAGTTGTACTTTAGTGGTGTTGTCAGCAGCTGTTCCGATGAACCAGCGCCAAAAAGGCAGAGGACGTCTTCAGAAAGCACCACGACCAACTGTGTAGAAGGGACAAAGGTTCTGACTTTGGAAGGTGGTCCGGTTTCCTGCAACCAAACTTTGTCCCAAGTTATCAGGACTGTCAAGCCGCACATCAAGCAGCTTGTGGAGGATGCTAATCTTGTAAGTTAATCAATATTTATGTCTTTGTTTTTTTTCATCAACTTTAAAATTTTATAAGTTAGCTATTTAGGCGCAACCAAATTTAGCGGTGTAAGCAAATAATGGTACTAGTTCACAAGAGTTCCGCACAGATCACGCGTGGTTCACAATCACTTCGGTCACACTTCTTCATGGAATCCCGAAAACAGCCGAATGTTGTCGTCTTTTATGACGTCAGCTATTGCCCCATCACAAAACCCCCCTTTTCATGCATTTAAAAAAAAATATTCCCTTCATGGAACTTCCTTATTAACAATTTATTAATGAATTATGTATTTACTAATTAGTCAATTATTAATTTTTATTATAACGGTTATCACTGAGAAAGAAAAAGAAACAAATACATAAAATAATGTTGGAGGCGTTTCTTCAAGGCCTGTTAAAAAGAAATGTTGTTAGAAATAACATTTTTATTGACACGTCCTTACATGTAGTGGCTGTATATACGCATATGCTGTATATTATCTTTTATAACTGTGTATAAAGGATTTTTTTATCGTTTGGATAATAAATAATTTGAAGTAATCTTGAATATTGAAAATACATTTTTATTTTCGCTAAAGTGATAAAAATAAAATTTTCTTTGAAATATTGTTCATTGCTAGTGTTGGGGCCAGGGGTATTTCAAAGTTAAAAAATAGTTATTTCCCCGGTGAGTTTCCTCAATGGTGGGATATTAATAAATTTAAACAAAGGGGAAATGAAGAGAAACAATTTTTTATCTTTATATTGAATATTTAATATGAGAAGGAGTTAATCGGGGGGCGCGACCCAACTTTGCAGGTCTTCTTCAGGGATAGAACGGACAAGATACAAAAACATAGAGAATTGTGGCAGTTACATGGTATTTAGACATAATATTTAGACTCTGACCTATAATCTCTCAATTCTATTTTATATGTATATTTATATATTTATAATTTAATATTTCATAGATACAGTATTTTTCCGTTGTATCCATCCATATCTTCAAATTTTAGATACTGTAAGTTCCTAGGTTTTTCCCAATTACCCAAACATGTTATCTTCCCCTATACCTGCCCTTACCCTTGGTTTTCCAGTTCTAAATAAAAATCCTAGTTGAGCACACCTGTAAGTCTCTAATTTTATTCTTCCATTTTATTTACTTATTTATCTAATTTTTGGTCTCCTTTTTCTTTCTCCACATTCCTTTATGTCTATTATTTCATATTATATCCTTTTTCCTTTTCTTTCAATCTCTCCTGTAGATTTGTGGAAGTATATTCACATTTTCATTTATTGTATATTACACTAAAACAATTGTTAGCATCTATTTACCTCAGTTTAGGATCTTGTTACTCAGCTTACTTTGTTCATATTTTATTGTACTTACTGTTTATAATTTTAATAAGCTTATTCACATTGTTTATAAATTATGTTTAAATATTATGTAACTGCCACAATTCTCTATCTTTTTGTATCTTGTCCGTTCTAGCCCTGAAGAACACCTGCAAAGTTGGGTCGAAACGTCAGCTTTCAATAAAATAGTTTTACCATTATTTAGCCTATTTATGACCTCAACCCCTGACCATCTCCTTCTTTTATCTTTATAGCCTTTTTATTGAAAGAATAATAATACAATCAAGGGCATTGGGCATTAAGGCTCTGTGTGTACATTCATACTAAAAGTGAAAAAAATTAGTAAAAAAAAAAAAAAGATGAGACCTGTAAAAGGGGCAAAAATGCATGCACATCAAATAATATAAAATATTCAATCGATTAAAGATAGAAAATAAATAATCCTTCTTTTAAAAAAAAGAGAGATATAAATATATACAAAATTTAAAATAAACAATGATGCAAAATTTCATTGAATTAAAAATAAACAAATATAATATTCTATGAAAATAAAAAAAAAATTGTCCATCAAAAATAACATCTACAAAAAAATAAATTAATTACAATTGTCTTTTGACGATGGTGAGAATATAGAAGAAAATATCCCAAAGGGAAGTTGATAAATAGACCTACTTACCTAACCTAGGTTATCTTGCCTGATGTTCAACCATCGGTGGTTGATATTTTATCAAATTAAAAAAAAAAACAATTTTCCTTCATAAATTCTTTTATTATTATATTTACATACTGTTTTTGTTGTTATAGTTAAAGATGTGGATATCTTTCATGATACCAAAGATTGAGGATGGTAACAACTTTGGTGTCTCAGTGCAGGAGGAAACATTGGCTGAAATTCAATCTGTCGAATCTGAAGCTGCTGCCTTTTTTGATCAAATTTCAAGATATTTTTGTTCAAGGGCAAAAATTATATCTAAGGTTAGTTTTTCTTTTTCTTAATTAATACTTCAATGAAATCTGTGCATTCCGGACAGTAGTGTTAATTTATTTCTTCTCCTTCAATTAGGAGGAGTACATAATTTTGAAGCTTTTAAAAGTTTATATATACACTCACACTTATATTTAAGTGTAGAAAAAAAATATAAATATATTTATAGTAATAATAATAGTATTTTATATATTCTGGGACGAGTCCCTTCAGAATAATACAGAAAGACAAATGTGGACTAAGGAGCCTCAGAGATGTATAAACAAAAATACAAAATAATTAAATAGTCATAATAGAAAATTATAAGTAACTTTCTAATTTTAGTCAATTATTAATTAAAAAAAAATACATGAAGTAAAAATAATCAACAACGATCTAATAATTTATATGCATATTTACAGTAGTATCTATTTACAATTTTATACACACAATATATGTGTGGGTGCGTGCGTGTGTAATAGGAATGTAGAAGGATAATATATGTTAAAGTAGTTTAAACCAAAGGATATAACTTTTTAGGAAATATAGATTCTAAGGAAATTTTTTGTATTAAAATTCCAGGTTTATAGTAAAAATTTAACTTTCATTTATTCAAGTTCTTTAAAAAAGTTTTGTTGAATGAAAAATAAACACTAATTGGGCTTCGATTAGAGTTATAATTTGTGTTAAATGAACTGCGCTTGATTCTAATGTATCACTTGTTTGAGTAGCTAAAAGTCATTTTTTAGGTTGAATTGTTAGTAAAATCAACAAAACTTTTAAATAAAAGTGTTTTAAACAAGGGAAAAGGCTTTAGTTTCTAAAGAACTAAAAAACTATCGAATATAAAAATTTCAGTACTACCAAAACTTTTTAAAAATACAAGATTTTTTTCCGTTTCAAGTTCTGGTTTATCAATATGAAACATGTAAGACTACTGTAATATTGAAAAGACCCAAAATATGCAGAAGCGTGGACAATATTGTTGTGTATGTCATTTTAATAAATATTATGTCCAAAGAGCAATTGTTATATTGTTGAGTAGTGTAATTAATTGTTTTATTGTTTTTGTACAGGTGGCAAAATACCCTCATGTAGAGGATTATCGTCAAGCTGTACGGGAACTGGACGAAAAGGAATACCTCAGTATGTGGCTGGTGATGTGCGAAATCCGAAACAGGTACTGCACTCTTCATGATATCGTCACGAAGAACCTCGAGAAGATAAAGAAACCGAGATCGACCAATTCAGAGTCGTTGTACTGAAGGAAATGATCCGATAGGGCTTCGCCCTTTGTATTTTAGCTTGCCGAGTCCATAATTCTTCTTTTGCCACCTCTTGACTGACACAAGACAATGGGAGGAGGGGAAAATGAGGAAGGAACTACAAGTTTTCATTAGGAACTCGATGTCTGTTTTCCCTTTAGAGGGATTGATGGATTTTTTTTTGTTTTCTTCGAGTTATTTCTTTTTTTCTGTTCATTATTTGACCGATTTTTTTTTCTATTTTTTAATTATAACTCGAACCGGTCTACTTCAGGACTGAGTTTACCTTCCAAAGGACTGATGTACCCGTTAGATATAACTTTAGCCTTTCAATTTTTAAACACTTGAAACTGTTAAGATTTAAAATCAGTATATGTCCCCTGTATAATTGATAAATAATTTTGTCACATAATAACATGATCGATTTTGAATATATTAATATGTGCTCCAAGCACTTGACTTTATAAAATGGGCTACAGTTATATCTCAACATAATCATTCAGCTTGTATATATATTTTTATACTTAATGGAGTTAATGCTGTACTCTAAAAAAAAAAAAAGAAAAAAATGTTTGAGCTGTTGAAATGACTTTTAGTGAATTTAATCCGTCTATCAGTTTGTTAATTGTCTAATAATAACTTGAATAAAATATTTTGTATCTTCACATTTAAAAAAAAAAATTAATAAAAATAAAAAAAAAACAGGAAAAATTCTTTACAAATATGATCCCACTGTTTTTGTGGCTGTCACAGACTTTTTGTCATAAGTGTATGCACGTAGTAATGCTTAGAAATAATGATATACAAATATATATAGATATAAATAAATTGTAAATAAAATAGACAAAACATTTTCTTAAGTTGTTAGGGGTTATTTTTTAACAATCTTGTACAGACCTTGTATGATTTATTTTATTTAATATAACATTTTTGATTTTAAGAAAAATCAAACAAAAAAAAAAAACTGTCTTTATTGTGATACATTCCTAAGGCTTTTATTATAGAGCTTCAGTGTAAATTATTATTCTATAGAAGTGCATAAATATTTTAAAAATTTCTAATCTATGATGTTAATACAGTGTTTAATTGTTTGTAAATGTGTCTCATGTTACCAGTGTAACATGTTTGATATTAATCTCACTGCCTTGAGATTAATAATTAAAAATATCAAATGCTCATAATGGATAGAGTACAAGGATCTTTCAACGAAGAAATAATAAAAATTATAAAAAGTCAGTTGATTTTTGCGTACTTCCTGTGAAAAAATCTTGTTACGAATTTCATCCCAGATCTTCATATAAAGCATTACATTCTGTGGTACAGACCCCTTTTTATCGAATTTTTAACATCCGCCTGAAACTTCATAAATAGTTTCATCTCATCGTAGCCTACAACTATTTTATTTCCGAAAACTCTTGGAATTGGGGTGTTTTCATTCTGGAGGAAGCAAACTTTGTCTAATTAGGTACTAAAACCTTGCAAATACCCATTTACTTTCTACTTGGATCATAGGATAATTTGATCACAAAATCTATAAAAAAAGCCGGCCTGCAAACATATTGAGCCGTTTGTCCTATATAACCTCGTTATTTGGAAAAATAGAGTGTGTAGTTCATGCTAAACAGCTCAATATTTTTGAAGGCCACCTTTTTTCTCGATTATGTGATCAAATTATCTTACGATCCTAGTAGAAAGCAAATGGGTATTTACGTGTTTTTAGTACCCAATTAAACAGACGAAAGTTTGCCCCCTCCAGATTTAAAATGTCCCAATTCCAATTGTTTTCGTAAATAAAATAGTTGTAAGTTTCAGGCGGATGTTAATAATTCAATAAAAAGGGGTCTTTACCACACGGACTATTAGGTAATATATTTTTATTTACATGCATATAAATTTAGAAGGCAATTTAATCTAGCATTAAGAGTTGTAGGATTGCCAGGTTGGGTTTTTTAATTTTTTTCTCGCCTTTTAGACAGAAGGGGGTTTTCCTGGACCAGGGGATGAGGACGGGGAATTAATGTCAAGAGTTTAAAGACTCCCTGGCATGGGGCCTCGTTATTTATTTTGTCTATAACTTGGTTTCCAGCTTGCTGGGCAATGCGCGATATGGACACACATTAGTCCACTCGTCCATCCTCTCTTTCACTTACCTATGTATGAAATATATAGCAAGGGAAAATATTGCGATCATGAATATTTTCAAATCCAAGTTTTTAATTTTAAAATATACGTTTTGAGGACCCCTGGTTGCGGTTTTTACATGCCTGGGATGTTCCAGCTTTTTGATCGAAATCGGCTTATTGACAGTGCCACTCTGTATCATCGATTTTACAAACTTCTCGAAATTTTGGTTCCTTATTTTTGTATTAAAATGTTATTTGGAATACTTTTAATTTTTATTAAATCTACTGTTTAAAAGCTTAATCATCTTATTAGAAAATACATATTAAAATGAGTGATAAAAATTATTTTTAAAAAACATCTTGAATTTTTAAGGTTAATTTATTTACCATAATTGTGGGTAAATGGTTGACTGTCTTGAATAATGAAGAGAAGAATAGTTGGGGTGATCAGTCAAATAAGAAGGCAAAAATAAATGATAATATTTATTTTGACATTTGCCGACGTTTCGACCTGAAGTTCAGGCCATCATCAGGGCTAAGAAAAGAACCAGATAACAAGCTATGAGAAACATAAATAGTGTAGGTAAATAAAATTAAAGTAAAATGCAGTTGTTAGAATAATGACAATAGTAAGAACTAAGAGATAAATAATAATAACCGTTACAAAGTGTGGAATGATGAAGTAAATATAATTAAAAAAAGGTGACATAAGTATTAAAATGAGAATCTTACAATAAAATGTAAAACAAAAAAAAGGAATATGAAGTTATATAAGAAATGAAAATAGTAAAATTAAGATATTGCGAAATAGAATAGTTGGATAAAGGAAGGAGGAAAGAAACTGAGAAGGCTGAAATAAGAAAGAGAAAAAGAAAACAAATCTGTCTCCAAAGGTGTAAGCTCTCAGTTTCTTTCCTCCTTCCTTTCATTCCTTTTCTCTGTTGTAACTCTTTATTATATTATACGTAGTCTGTACATCTTGATAGACTTTACAATACCTCAATTTTCTATCCAACTATTCTATTTCGCAATATCTTAATTTTACTATTTTCATTTCTTATATAACTTCATATTCCTTTTTTATGTTTTACATTTTATTCTAAGATTCCCATTTTAATACTTATGTCACCTTTTTTAATTATGTTTACTTCATCATTCCACACTTTGTAACGGTTATTATTATTTATCTCTTAGTTCTTACTATTGTCATTATTCTAACAACTGCATTTTACTTTAATTTTTTTTTTTACCTACACTACTTATGTTTCTCATACCTTGTTATCTGGTTCTTTTCTTAGCCCTGATGACGTCCTGAACTTCAGGTCGAAACGTCGGCAAATGTCAAAATAAATATTATCATTTATTTTTGCCTTCTTATTTGACTGATCACCTCAACTATTCTTCTCTTCATTATTCACGACAGTCAACCATTTACCCACAATTATGGTAAATAAATTAACCTTAAAAATTCAAGATGTTTTTTAAAACTAATTTTTATCACTCATTTTAATATGTATTTTCTAATAAGATGATTAAGCTTTTAAACAGTAGATTTGATTAAAATTAAAAGTATTCCAAATAACACTTTAATACAAAAAAAAGGCTTATTTTTAAGCTTTGATCAGTATATGTTATTGCCATTAAACTTTATTAATAAAAAGTATTTACAATGTATATACATATTTCAATTTGAGTTTCATCATATAACAATAAATAAAAATAAATTTTTAAGGTACATTGCAGGGGCGAGCTTGTATGGCGCTGACAGGTAGCGCGTAGGTGAACTAGTCCCCTGTAGCAAGAGGCAGAAATCTATTACTGCTACACCCTGATACAAGTTGTGGAGAAAATACTTGGTCGACAGTTTAAAGGTTCCATCTAAATCCACATCGGTACTCAGATAATTTCCAGTGTATTCTGTGATTCGACTATTTAGGATTAATGTGGATATTTTATAATATACTGCAAAGGAATTTAAAATGGAGAGAATATGCATAAAAAAAATTATGTTTATTGAGTTTGCTGATGTTAAGACCCAAATGTGTGGGTTATCATCAGTGCTAAAAATTAAAAAATACAAAACTATAAATATAAAAGTATGTAAATAAGAAATTTCCTCTGATGGTATTTTACCAAGAGTATTATGCAAGCAAGGGTATATGTATTTTTTTTTTTTTTTTTAATGCATTATAAATGAAAGAAGAATAAGGTGGAATGTAGATATGAGATAATGGTAATATAAACATTTCAATATGTTAAGAAAAAGATAATTATCAAAAGTAAAAATAAATAAAACAAATAGGATAAACGCATCAGTCGTGGACTTCACATGTAAATAATAAGCTGTATGAACAAAGTTCCCAAAAGAAAATTTTAAAATGCCTATCGTTTCTAAAGTGCTCTTGAGATCAGTGTGTTTCATATATACCTGCTTACAGTTTTGCTAAGAATAAGGTGAACATTTATCTTATCTTTATAGTTAAATAAAGATTTTTGAATTTTTCTGAGGTATATCTATTAATGGTATTGATTCTCCGTTCATTACTAGAACAATTGAATTTCGGGGTGTCAATCACTAATGCAAAAATGTGTTTTTTTTTTAAATGGAGATTATAACTACATATTTTTTAAAGTTTAAAATAGAAAAAGGAGATCCTAGACATTTTAAATGTCCAATGGAGAATTTTATAACTATAATAATTATGGCGGCATAAGCTAAAAATGACAAACATTTCCTTAGCTATGTCCATCATTGGTGCATTAATTCTAATTAGTTAAAATAAATAAATTATTTTATTTAATTCTCCTGCCTTCTCTGCTGGACCAGGAATAACTCCAGGTAGCCTTAAACGCGAGGAAAGAGGTGAAAAGAAAAAGAAGAATTGCTTCTTTTTTGGTGAGGAAGCTGTTTAAACTATTATGTTGCAATGGGTGATAAATATTCAGGACTAATCATTAAAAAAAAATCAATTTTTTATTAATGACCACGTTTCAACCCAAACATGTGGGTCACTGAAAATTTTTTATTTCCCATTTCCCCATCAACTTACATAGGTTTTATATATATATATATAATGTCCATTCTTAATATAAATATATACTAAAAACAAGCACAGATATGTTTACACTTATACTATAAAAACAATGTAATCCTTAATATAATAGAAACTTCTAGTAAGATTAATATTGTTATTCTTAAAATATTGTATAATATATTGTCCTATGTATCACTTCAATCCATTAGAATTGTCTTTATTATAAATAATATTGGTCTAACCATTGTATACTTTTAATCAAACTATGTTGTATTTATATTGCTTGGCACCTCTTGCTTATATTCATTTCATTACTAGCCAATAGTCACATTAATGTAACCATAAGAAACAACGCAAATATTGTACACATCTGAAATATTTGGTCAGCAAATTATTTACATTCTACAAACAGAAATGTTACCTCCCTCTCCCCCCCTGACTATGTTTACCTACCTTTTGCTAACTGGAAAAGGACAACTGGGGTATCCTCCCCTCCCCCCGACCTTTTCACTTACCTGCCAAATGTGTCAGTACTTGAACACCCTCAGTCCTCAAACCACGGTTAGTAAGAGAAAATATTACAAATTTGAATAAATGGATTATATACATTATTTTTTAATTTTTAGTTTGTATAAATATTCACTTTCTACTCATTTTTAATATGTGTATTGCAATATTAGTTCATATTCATGTACCATCAATCATTTTATATAGTTTATTATTTACCATTATCGGTCGTATAATATTATATTTCTGATTGTATTTTTAAAAAAATTTCAGCCCTGAAGATGACCCACATGTTTGGGTTGAAACGTTGGCATAAATAAAAAATTGAAATTGTTTTTTTAAAAAAGTCTGCGTACTGAATACTTATCACTCATGATATGTGAAAAAGTTGACTAACTTCCTTCAACTATTATGTTGTAAGCAATATAAAACAAAAAGGTTTAAGAGCAGATTGATGGATTTCTGATGCCATCGATAAACTCAGCACTGAGTTTAAGGAACTTTCCCTAGGATAAAAATAAAACAAATTGCCTTATAGGAATCCAGTGAATGATGTACAAAACAGTGTCCAACCATATAGCATGAAAAATTTAAGCATAATGCAAGGACTGTCGATTAAAAATATTAAAAGCTTTCTCATCAATTGATGGGAGTCAAAAGGAATGGATAATAATCGCTGCTGGTTTACAGCTTAAGATGGAATGATAAATCAAACTGAGTACCTAAACTTTGTACATATCATTTATCGTTCCGAATTTTATAATATAATGTTACTTAGATTAAAGTTCTAATTCAATCATGGATTTCACTATATGTAAATTTGCAATATTTTACACATTTTTTGTTTTAAGTAAGACATACTAGTTCGTGGTACAGACCCCTTTTATCGAATTATTAACATCAGCCTGAAATTTTGTAAAGTTTCATCCCATCGTAACCTACAACTATTTTATTTACAAAAAGTTGGAATTGGGGCATTTTCAATCTGGAGGGGACCAAACATTGTCTATTTAATTACGTATTGAAAACTCGTAAATACCCATTTGCTTTCTATTTGGATCGTAAGATTATTTGATCACAAAATAGATAAAAAAGGTGGCCTACAAAAATATTGGGCCGTTTGTTCTATATAACATCGCTATTTTGAAAATTAGAGGGTGTAGATCACGTCAAATGGCTCAATATTTTTGTAGGCCACCACATTTTTTTTTTTTTTTTATCTATTTTGTGATCAAATAATCTTACGATCCAAATAGAAAGCAAATGGGTATTTACGAGTTTTTAGTACATAATTAAATAGACAAAGTTTGCCCTCCTCCAGATTAAAAACGCCCCAATTTAAAGAGTTTTCGTAAATAAATTAGTTGTAGGTTGCAATGAGACGAAACTATTTACGAAGTTTCAGGCGGATGTTCATAATTCGATAAAAAAGGGTTCTGTACCACGGACTATATGATAAAACATAACATGTAAATCCGCCTTTAATTAAGTATAAAGCTTTTCATATTTTTTGTAGTATTGGATATGGAAAAGAAAACTTTGGCATAAATCACATTCCCAATATTTTATAAATTTGTAGCTAAGTGCCATAAGCATAATTCCCGATCTTCAAGGAATGAAGTCGATTGTGGTAAAAATGTAAATAAAATTTTCTCTGTATCCTCATAGTATTAAAAGAAACGGGGAAGGGGATAAAAAAAATCAAATCATTATAAAAATAAGGATTCTTATAATTAATTCATAATAAAAATTACATAAAAGAAAGTAAATTAACAAACATATTTCAACGGAGAATTAAAAATTTTCTATTTGAAATATGAATGAATGTAACAATAAATAACTTTTAAAAATGAATAATTGATGTTTAAAAAACATTGACACACTCCTATAAAAGAGTTCAGTAAAACAGCATTCTCACAATATATCTCTACAGATAATACCGTTATGAGAAAATGTTATGTTTTTGCGGAAGGCAAAGCCGTTAAAAGTTATTCAGTTCTTTCTCTTAGATTTCTGTTTTAGACGAGCGTTTTTACCCGGCCTTTTCTGTTGCATCGCTTTTTTCCCAGAACCGGCAGTGAATGGTTTGTTTCGTGGGCGCTTCGGCTCGATCCCGCTTGTACTATCCCTAGTATTCCTTTTAGCTCCTCTTTTTTTTCCTCCATGACCAAATTTAGTATCCTTGCGTTGTCTTTTAATTTGGGATCTATTGAAAAAATAAAACATAAATTAATACAAAACAATATTAAATAAACTTCAGCATTGAAACAAGAAATAAAACAGAGATGGATATACATATATATATTTTTTAAATTGCGAGGATGATATGTAATGAATATTTTCACAATCAGGGTTAAAAGTTAAGGTTTAGAAATTTTCATTTTAATTACTGTTATCAGATTACTCCCTTTCTCTCCCCTCCACCACAATCCATTTACTACATCACACAGTTTCCCTCAATTCTTGATTCTAGACTAGACAGTAACCGTGGGTAATTGTTGAACTACTATTTATATTTGTTACTTTTTATGTAATTATAATACGATTTCATCCGTTACTCCACAACCTTTCATGTTCTTTTCAGTTACTAGATCTCACAGTGTTACGTTAATCTCGCAGTGTCACAATTAGTTTTTATAATTATTCACCTCTCTTATTCTTAACCTTAGCTGCGAATACTTATTTATTTATTTAAACAATTCATTTAGTTAATTTTTTAATAGTGGATTGATAATTGTGCAGTGAATAATTGAAGAGAAGAATAGTTATGGTGATCAGTAAAAAAATAAATAAAAATAAAAATAATTATATTATATATATATTATAGGCCCAAAGTTCAGGCCTTCATCAGAGCTAAAAAAAATCCACATAACAATATTTACTCTTATGTTTACTATTACATTTTTTATAAATTCATTATATACATTATTTTTTGTTTATATAACTTTTGACATATTTTATTTGCCTATTTTATCTATCATCAATCACCATTTTTGTTACTATTAACCATTATCTGTCTTATAATGTTATATCTCTGAATGTATCAAACAATTTTTCAGCGCTGATGATGAGCCACATGTTTGGGTTGAAATATCGGCACCAATAAAAACTTTATAATGACTGTGTCCTGAATATTTATCACCCATGATATGTAGAACAGTCGATAAACTTCCTTAAAAAAAACATTGATTTATAGTAACCTAAAAATCTGAGTAGAGCAAAGGTAAAAATCTTCTTCTTATTCGGCGTTACGACCCACTAGTCGAGTCATAGCCTGCTCAAGCTGAGACCGCCAGTCCTTCCTGTTCCGTGCTGCTGCCTTCCAGAGATCTCGCATCTGCAGCCACGCAGTCTTCCCAGCGAAGTCTGGGGCGTCCAACCCGCCTAGTACAATACATTTGCCCAGCTAAGATCTTGTAAGGAACTTCGTTTGGATCCATCCTAATGACGTGACCAGCCCAGCGAAGTCTTGATACCTTTACGAATGCTGATACGTCTATTTCTTTGTACCTCACTCTTAATTCAGCATTTGTTCTTCTCCATGCACCTCCCTGATATATACCACCATATATACGGCGAAGCACTTTTCTTTCAAAACGGAGAAGGAGATGCTCAAGGGCTTTAGTTGTAGTCCAACATTCTGAGCCATATGTAAGAACTGGTCGTATAATTGTCTTATAAATTCTCACTTTCGAGGCCTTCAACAAAACACTACTTCTCAAGAGTTTATTTAGGGAGAAATAGGTGCGGTTTGCGGAGATGATCCGTCTTTGGATTTCTTCTTCAATGCAGTTATTACGGTTGATCCTAGGTATATGAATGATTCCACTCTTTCAAATCTATGGCAACCTATCGAGACATGACTCCCACCATCCTCGTGGGTAGGTAGGGTGCAGATATATTTCGTTTTTTCAACATTCACCATTAGGCCCAGTCTTGCTGCAGACTCCTCTAATGCTTTAAAAGCTTCTCTTATTAAGGTAAAAATAAATACCATAAATTTTGTTAGAAATTATATATAATATTGTTTTTCTCGGCTCCTAGGGCCCATTGGAAAGAATGCTAGGATATAAGTCTAATATTTTTAATCTAGTCTAATATCAAGTATAACAAAAAAAATATATATATTTTTATAGTTATTAAATGATACTCACTTGTTTGGTTTGGCTTTTGGCTTAAATCCTGGCTCAAGGAAAGCTAAACTCTTAGTTTCTCCTTTCCTGTACTTTTTCACTTCTTCTAACATTTGTTTTTTACTTTGAACTTTAGCAACCTTAGCTTGAGCGTGAAGAGCTTTCTGAACTTTCTTCTGAGCTCGTATTTCTCTCAGTTTTTCAATTCTTTCCATCATTAGTTTTTTCTTGATGGCTTCACCTTTCACCTATAAAAAAAATAATATATATACACCTTGTACATTTTGGTTTTTAATCTTCAATAATGAACCTTTGAAACCGACCAGGAAAAAATAAAGTTAAACCTGCTCAAAATTTGAGATTTTACATTTCCAAGATATGTAGAATATTTAATGAAACTTGGTTAAAATCTTCTCATAAAAGCCCTTTAAATTTATATGTATACATATATATATATGTATACATATATATATATATATATACATATATATATATATATATAAATATATATATATATATATATATATATATATATATATATAAAACATACTTCACTAAAAAGTATTTATCTTTCAAGATGGCGGCTGAAAGTCGTGTATAGTATAGATTGTAGCGCTTAAACAAATGTACCGATTTTAATGAAACTTGAATACAAAATTCTTATCAAAGCTCTTTAAATTTAGGTATATAACATATTTTACTGAAAAGAAGTTGGAAAATATGAGAGCAGTAAAATTAGATTTCAGAATAATTCAAAAAATATTTAAGCATACTTTTTTGCTGTTATGATCATTTAAAGGTTTAAGAAATTTCCTTAAAAAAAAAAAAAAAAATACATTGAAATAAATAAAATTGAAGATTGGGTGCAAAGATAAAGGGTTCTAAATATTTTCCAAATGTTCTATTGCAAAAACTGATATCATTTGTTTTGGTTTATTGATTTTTGGAAAGTGAAGCAATCGAGATTGTTGTCTAGAATTCTTATCAAATTACTAACGAGGAAAAATAAGCAAAATAATTCAAACCAATATAAGGAATAATTTTTTTTTTTTTTTTTTCAATGTGAACTGTTTGGAAATAATAAACCACTGTGTAATAATGTGCACCATTTTTTTATAATTTATAAAACGTGTAAGTTTTAAGAAAAATAAATGAACAAAAGTGAGTAGGCGGATATAATTCAAATATTGATATTAGTCAAATATTAATTCGTGTAGTCTAATAAAACGTAGGCCTACCATTGTATAAAAAAAAGTTTAACTTAAAAATGTTCAAATTCCTTCTACTTAAAACAAGAAATCTTTAAATATTAATTAAAATGATAATCCAGATAAGATAGAAATATGAAAATATTTATTAGAATAGATGATTTTTAAATTATAAAATTTTGTATAAGATTGATTCCTTTAAAAATATAAAATAAATAAAAATAATGAAGTATTTGTATAGCATACCTTCTGCATATGCTGATCTGACTTGGCCATTTCGGCAAAATAGTCGTCAGGCCTCTCAGTTCTAAGGCCCAGTTCTTTCAATTTTGGTAACACTTTCATGGCAGCGTTCTGAGCTTGTCTATAGAATACGCTTTCTCTCTTCAACTCGTCATAAACTAATGGATTATGTCCTTGTTCTTCTTCCCTGATCTAATGAAACAAAGAGTTTTGAAAACATATAAATGAATCTTTATATGAATGAACATATAAAGGGGGCTATAAAAATAGGAGATAGAGTGTCTAGAAGCTTCTTCATTAACAAAGGATTGAAACAGAGCTGCTGCCTTTCACCCCTGATTTTCAACATTTACATAGAACAAGCCCTTAAAAACTGGAAAAGATCGTGCTGTGGAATGGGTGTTCAAATCGGGAATGATGTCATCTACAATTTGCAGTATGCCGATGATCAAGTCATAATCGCATCGGATCCGGATGATGTTAGCTATATGATGAGGAAGTTGCTGGACACGTATTCCAGATGGGGTCTGAAAATCAGTGAAAGTAAAACAGAGTATATGGTTTTCAACGCTCCAAATTTGCCCCTTGAAATTGATGACTGGACGCTAAATGTCAGCCAGCAGTTCAAGTACCTCGGATACTGGCTATCTTCAAAGGGTGGTAGTGAGGTTGATATCGAACATAAAATAAATAATGGGAAAAGAATAATAAGTTCGATAAATTCAACCCTATGGAGTAAAGAGATACGATTAGAAACTAAAAAGAAGATATACCATTCCTTTGTAGAAAGCGTAGCCACTTACGGATCAGAAGTCTGGACACTGACAAAAAAGATGAAAATAAGCTGCTTTCCATGGAATTGAATTTCTGGAGAAGAAGCTGTGGCATATCCAGAATCGAGCGGATCCCAAACGCAGCTATTAGAGACAAGGTCGGATGTCAAAAGAACATCCTTCACCTGATCGGGACCAAACGGTTAAAGTGGTATGGCCACTTAAAGCGGATGGATGAGAACCGCTGGCCAAAGAAAATCTATAACTATATGCCACCTGAAAGTAGGAAGCGTGGAAGGCCAAAGAAGAAATGGACAGAGGACGTGGAAGAAAGCATGGCAGCCAGAGGGCTTCGTGAAGGAGATTGGATGGACAGGGAGCAGTGGCTTTTGGGTGTTGGGGATATGACTCCTTAAGTTGTGCAAAACCCAAATAAAAAAAAAAAAAAATAAAAAAAAATAAAAAATAAATGAATCAGCTAAACATAACAGTTTCAATTAGTTTTTTTTTTTTTAATTAATTGAAATGAACAACTGTACTAAAACTTAAAAATCTAGTGTAGTGCGCGCATCACGCAACTTTCACTTAACAACCTTAGAGTAGATAGATATTTTCATATATAGGGGGGTCAAAGTGAAAACGACAGTATAACTTCATTTAAAACAATTAACTAACATGTTTTTCCCATCCATTGAACTGTTAAATTTATACATTAGCATCGCTTAACATTTCTTTTTACGACTATGTATAGTATCAAATAATACTAATGATTATGAAAACCACGTAATCAAATTATAAAGTTTATGAACTTGTTCGACGCACAATTTAACATTCTTTCATTTATTAAAGAGTACATTTGTCGCTTTGAAGCATCGTTTAGGAGTTGAAAAAACAAAAAAATCTGACTTTTTTGGCTATATAAAGTTTTCCTTTAGTGGTTAGAGTTAGAAATTTCGATCCTCAAATTAATGGCCTAATATTCTTTAAATCAGCCGTCATTTTTGAAAGCAGTGGCTCTTAAACGGCAGACAAAGTTCTTTTTACTCAGAATAACGTACAATTTCGTAATTAACAATCAAACCTTCGCCTGCGATGAGGTAGATTTTTGGGCTCTAGCTCCAGGGCTATTATGTATAAGTCAGTTCAATTGTCTATACTTATTGATAACAATAAGTAATAGTGATGGAAAAATAATTATGACTCAAATATTATCGTGTATAGGTAGAATTTGGAGATTTCTTACCTCCCTACTCTAATGAACAAACTCGATTATTTTGGTAATCCTATGTACAGCGTGATGTAAAATCGTATGTAATCCATATGCAACACTGGGGAACTACCACTGTAAATATTAAATTGGTTATCTTAACATATCTACCTGCAAAGCGAGTTCAGGGGCCAATGGTGCTTGTTCGTTTGTTACATCCAATCTTTCAATCCACGGAAGATCCAACTTGATTTCACTTAATGTGTCTTTCAGGAGAGGCTACAGAAGTTGAAAAGAGTTAATTCCAATAACGATTTAGTTTAAACATATAAACAAAAAAGATTGATAACAAGGCAAATACTACTTACAACATTATTTGTCTTGACTTTATCTTTAACAGGAATGTTAAGTCCTGGCTTAAGATCTCCTCTGGCAAAAGCTTCTTGTATTGCCTAGTAGCAGAAAAAAATAAAAATCACCAACTCTGGAATGAACTTAATCAATGTCTATACAGATATAATTATACAACTAGAAATATCACTAAAATTAGATTAATAAAAAATGTTGGAGTTAGTCATTCTGTCAACTGAATGGCACATTTTATACCAGAATTAACTTTAAAAAGAATAAACAAATTTCCTACAGATCCCATCAACAACATTTGGAGTCCTGTGTTGAAAAATAATTCAATTTTATAAAGGTGTGATACCATGTTAGATGACCTAATGCTTCATTTATAAGTAAATTAGATTTTGTTTTCTTACCTCTGTTTCTGAATCAGTTTCTCCCTCATAATTTTCAAGCTCTTGTAATTCTAGCTCTCTAAGCGTTGGCCTCTTCATTTTACCACTAATATTAGTTAACTTATTTGAAAATGAAATCTCATCAAAACTTCAATATTATATTACTAATGCGTACTGTGCAAACAAGGAGAACAAAAACAACGGTGGGAAGCCTACAACGAAACCTCCAAGAGCACGTGCTTGTGAAGGTTATTTACAAGACATGCTACCACGAACATCGTGGATCGATATATGTTTATTCTTCAACATTCAAGACAATAAAAAAAAAACATAAAAAATTATTGCTATAATTTCTTTATTGAGTATTATAACAATCTGTCTGTTCGACATTGGTTATAGTGAGGTAGGATGACATTCACACCATATGACATAAAAAATAAAACAATATATTGAATTGAAAAAAAAAAACTGTACCACTGCAACCTATGAAGGGTCTTGGATTCAGTAATATTTAGGGAAAGCACTGTTTCTTAGTCTACGGTTGTGGAAGGAGGTGATTTGACCGATATCACGCTCAACCGCCAGGTTTTTCCACTTAATTATTTTAATTAAGGGTACCCACTTTAAAGAGGCTGGGTGCGCCCCCAGGAGGGTCTACCTAAACAGGGTCGCCCCACGGACAATGAAACTGAATAAATAATTTTTCTGCCATGAGCCGGGATTCGAACCTGGGGCCTTTAGTATTGGAAACTCAGTACTCTACCGCTGAGCTGCCCTACTTTTTTAGGGTTATTATTGATCAAATACATTTGAAGGCAATATATTGAAAGTCCTCTTCGCACTTTTCAATTGCATTGAGTCAATATTATGACTCATAATATTACGGATCCCTCCTCCACACACACAGTCCCTCGCTCTAACCACAAGGGACCCCGAATATCGTATCGTCCAGGACTTCTTAAATTTCTAAATCTGTATACATAATTTATTGACTGTAAACATGCAATTATATTGACTCTCCTTCAATAATATTGAAGGTGCTTCAATAAAAATTAAAAAAAAAAATTGATATCAAGCAATCTGATTGACGTCAATATAAATGTAGCCCTTACACGGTCTATATATTGACGGAAATCGATATTGACTCAATATTATTGGGTGAATATAGTTTGGTCAATATATTGATCGTATAAGGTCTACATTGGCATAAATTATATTGACTTCAATCATTTTGATAAAAAGAAGAAACAACGTTGTTTTTCAAAACTAAATCATACTCAAATAAATACAGCAATCAGTAGCGTGAGGTCGAAAATACCCAGCCCTTAAGTTGAGATAATCTTCTACCCAATCCAATTCATTCCATACATTTTATATTTAATACATTCATTTCATATTTATTTTATTTATTTATTTGAACCCTACTGTGCCATTGAGGCAATACGAGTTTTGCAGATCTGGGTTGTTATGTCACTGTATAACTGCCTGCTTCTGCAACGAGACCAATGTTCATATTTACATTTGTTGTTTATGGCCTTATTCCGCTCCTCCTTGTTCTGGCGGCCTCCCTGGCAGGGGTCCTTTTCTTGTGAGATTGAAATATTCGGGTCCAATTGCTTCTTTCCATCCGTACACAAATTCTTAGTAGTACGGGTAGTTTACTTCCGTAAGTAGCTGAGGGAAATCGGTGTCTGTGAGAACATATAGCGGTTTCCCTCAACAATTTGGCCCTTAGCGACTCAAAGGCGGTGCAGTTTAGGTTAATGTGCTCAGCAATCTCCGGGATCCCACAGCTGGGCATTGAAGATCGACATCTTTTCCAAATCCATAGAGCTTGTCCCGAATCCCTCATATCCAGTAAGGAATCGCGAGAGCCAGTAATCCTGGAGGACCCATTTGGCTTCCAAACGCGATTGAACGGTGGGGAAGTACTTCCTCAGAGTGCCCACTTTCGGGGCTTGTTATTACCCACCGTTGATTCCACACTTTAATTGTACTCTCCCGGATAATAGATTTCTATCATCTGAGATTTACCGGTTGGCTTGCTGAATCTTCTTTCTTATGTATGTACCTGAACATATCTTCTCGCAGGAAGAGTTCGAGAGGCACTCCTCTCGCTAGTAACTGCACCGCCTCAAGAGAAACAGTCATATATGCTCCGGTGACCCGCAGCAGAGCCGTTCGCTGGATTGTCTTCTGTCGGTGCGAGAGATTCCGATTCCACGCAGGAGACGCATACCTCAGTATACCTACAATCATACCTTTACAAATGTTCATATCCAGTTACATTCATTTCATATATTTTTTTTTTTTTGGCAAGTTCGAGATATTTTACTCTTTTAATACTTATCGCTAAATATTTATTAAAAGATATTGTTAATTTTTAACCCACCCAGTATCAATCTCAGTCTTAAACAAGAAGTCTGTTTGAAGCCTTTTTCGACCGACTTAAAGATGGCTAAAACGGTGCATAAGCCGACTTTTTGATATTTTTTTGGTGTATCTTTTAGACATCCCTTCAAGACATCTGTTAACCACTTTTAGATAAATTTTTGGTGGTTGGCATTACTCCATATAAATAACGAACTTGATCAGAACAAAGAGAATTCGTAAAGAATGGCAGACTAATAAATATTTTTGGACAGAGATATTTTTAACAGATTGAAGAAATTCAAAGAGAGATTCAAAAGCATACACAGTGAAAGTTACATTTACAACCTTTCAAATGACAATGGAAGTTTAGGCCTTTTACTAAGAATCTTTTAAAGTGTCGTAAGGTGTCAGCACGCTTCCGAAGAGAAGGGCCTTGGGCCGTTTCGGATGAGGAAAAGTCCAGTTACATTAACAACCTTTGGACAGACGAAGGCAGTTTGTGGAAGCATATTTAGATACGATTAGGTATTTCACAAGCAATGGGACAAACAAATGTATAAATCCTTCTCTTCGAATATGTAAATAATAATTTCAATATGCCAGTATTTTTGTTTCTTATGTTTGACATTTTCCATCTGCTGTTGGTATTTAGAGAAATTAAATAAATAGTTTGATTTAACAAACGTTTCGCTGATAGTTAAGTTAAAAAATAGTTTTCTATAGTTTGTGAATTATCTAAGCGCACATTTAGGAACATTTTAGGAACCTCGGAGGCGTCTTCTGGGGTCTCAGATACCCAGCTATAATAACTGTATACAAAGGAGTAGTTTTAGCTATTCTGAGATATGCGCCCCCAGCCTGAAACCAGCGATGTACCGCCAAGCTCTAGTACCGACAGAAGAGTAGGCTAGCATCGAATCAGAGATTGGCGGTACATCGGGTCACTAGAGCCTATAGAACGATATCTCATGAGGCAGTGCAAGTACCGGCAGGGGGACACCTCTCGATCTCCTCCTGCGAGAAGACTATTACCTCTTTAAAATGAAAAGAGAAGGTTCGGCACATCTACCGGAACGTTTAAAGATTAGAATTGAAGAAGACCCAAGAAGATGGAAAAAATTATCAGAAAGGACACAGTTGATCAAATGGAACCGGCGATGGATGACAACTCCGAAGAGCGCTACCCTAAGAAAGTACTTCCCCATAATCAAGTCACGATTAGATGCAAGATGGGTCCTCCCGGATTACTGGGTGTCTCAACTTCTCACGGGACATGGGGGCTTCCGAGCGAAGCTCGCAAAACACGGGAAGAAAAATATTGATCCGCTATGCCCCAACTACAACGTTCCGGAGATGTGGACGTCGAATGCATTGCCTATGAGGCACTAAGAGCTAAGCTCCTCAGAGATAAGGGGATATATACACTGACAGAGAGCATGTTCCTCCACCTAATGAGCAGAGAGAATTACCCACATTATAGGGAATTCGTATACGAGTGGAAAGATGCTTTAGGCCCTACACATTTTAATCTGGGAAGAACAGAAGGAAGTTAAGACAAGCTGCAGCTGCTTCGAAGACCGGCTTCAAGTAGAAGAATGGAGAAAAAGAAAAGCGTGGGCTTGTGCATACAAACAATAGTAAATAGACCTAATAGTAATAATATCTAATAGTAAATAGACCTATACACCCAGCAGTAGCATACGCATACTGCGTAATCCCTCCCTTCTGCTACAACCCGTATTGCCTGTAAGGCAAGGCAGGGAAAAAAAAGGTGTCAAAACATTTCTGATAAGAAGCGATTCCTGGACGGTTTCAGACGTGTGAATTTCCCTTGTTAATTTGTAACCAAGCTATCTCGACCTTAAGTTAAAGACTGTTTTCCCTTCTCTAATCTTCCATCCTGTTACTGTTGAAGGTATATGTTTATGAATATAATATTATTTAAATATCGATATTATAATGTGTTTCTATGTTATTATCGATATATATATATCTGGTTCGTGATATATCGATAGTCGTATAACATTTCTGAATTATGGAAGGAGGTGACTTTTATGTTCACCTTTATTTACTTATTTTTAGTCCATAAAAAAGGCTGATTGATTGTGAATTTAAGACTTTTTTTAAACAATTGATCTCTAAGAAATATATTCGATTGTTTTCATCTAAAGGACTGGTTCAGTGATTATTAATTTAATTCTTGACTCCATGTATTTTCAATTCAAATGTTTTTTCATCTATAATAATGATGAGGATGAATCTGAAATTTTTGATTCTGTTCCTATGCATCACATTGGTTTTCGTTACGTTTTCAGTTTGGATTAGGTGTGGTGGTGAAATTACACCTTTTCCTAAAGCTTATAAAGGCGAGACAATCATCAGTAAATCACAGGTGAGGACTAACTCATGATTTATTTTTATGTTTCTTACTAGAAATTACTCATTTAATTTTTTTTTGATTTGGTAAGGGTCTGGCACTCACTGAAAATTCTGGCTTAGAAGAAATTGATTGTCACATCAATGGAGAATACACTGTTTCATGTAGAAGAGAGGCTGATGAAGTTTATATACCATTCTCTTTCATTCATAAATATTTTGAGGTCAGTAATTAAAAATAATTTTTCAAATTGAGTGTACAGATTTTTTATTTTCTCTTAGACCATCGTTTGTTTATAAAATGTGAAACATACCCATTTCGGTTGAATGTAACTATTGTTTTTTAATGTTGCAAACAACAGAATCTCTGATTTCTGGCTTATATGTTGAACAGTCAAGGATTATTCTGCTCTTCTTTCATTTATAGCTGTTTGAGACTTTTGGTAGTTCTACTAATGTTAGTAGCATTCAGGAATAATTAATTTTTAAATAAATTTTAATCATTTGTCGAATGGTGTTAATCAATGACCATTATTGTATTTTATTTCCGTATTGAATACATGTTTTCAAATCTCTAAATATATTAGAAATTAATTTTAATTTGTCTCTCGAACTGTTCTTGTGATTTATTGATTAGCTTATATTATATTTAATTTATAAGGGTCACTCCTTGACAAATAGTCACAGGATTAAATTGCTCGTGGAATGCCAAAGTGTCATTTGACAGGTTAGTTTTCATTTTCAAATAGAAGTTACCAAAGGAATCAGACCGACTTAATTATTCTGGATACATTTCAATTTAATTATTTACATAAGTAACAAAAATTTAAACATTTTTTTTATATAAATTAAAAAATCTATTAAAGATTGTTCAGTAGTACGATACATCCAGATAACAGGTAGTAAACTATGTTTTGGAATATTTTCAACTCCGTTTATAAAACTATTTCCGATAATATATTTGTAAAATGAAAACTGACTATATTAACCAATGGACATGAAGGGAATTTTATTATTCTATAAAAGTCAGAGAATTAGGATTATCGTTTAACTCATCAGAAAGTCAAGGATTTGACTGTCTGAAGTTCATTCATTACTCAGTCTTTGTGGTAGTTAATCTGGTACTTCTTGTCTAGGAGGCCACTACTGACCGCTATCTGCCAATGTTTATAACCTGAACACTGATAACTCCCATAAAGCAGTGATAAGCCTTCTCCTACTTCATATCTTCGTATTATTGTATTAAATTCGTATTGAAAGTGTAAACAGATACAAAAACAAATGTAATAATAACAAAAATACTTTTATTTGACGACAAATATATTAATGAAATAATAAAAAAACACTTTAAGAAGATATGTACATATAAAACATCAAAATGAAATAAAAAAAACAAAACATTTATAAGAACATATTTACATAGAAAAGAAAAAATATAAAACATAAAATCTGTTTTATAAAAAGATAAAACATTCATCTGTTTCTCGGCAAACTCCACCAAACATCCACTGCTGAGGTAAACCTCTCCCCACATGATTTTTTCTTTTAGAAAAAATACTTTTGTCTACTTCAACCACTTTGCTAGGTCCTCCAATTTTTTTTATTGGCCTGTATTACATGTCATGGGCACAAACCTCTCTTAGACATTTGTTCCACGTTACCATTGCTCCGTAGTATAGTTTCAGCTGCTCTTTGCCCCAGTTCATTGTTGTCAAGCTATGGGACCACCCATAAATCAATTTGAAAGCTGTTAAAAACGAAATCCTCGAGCCCAACAACCATGTTCCTTTCCTTATTGAAAGTTTTGTGTCATAAGTCCTACGAAAGCATCTCCATTTGGCCTTCCTGGTTAACTTCATTCGATGACCTCGTCCACACAATTTCACGTCAGCAAGTACCCCAACATTTTGAAAATATTGAATTGCCTGTTCTTCTGAAGGTGGCAAATCCCATATTCTAAGAAGATCCATAATATGACGAAAATGAACAGAAAAAAAAAAAACAAAACACAAAGTGGCCAAAAACTAAAAAAAAATGCAAAAAAAAAGCATAGCTAGGCTCACTTAAGGGACACAGGTGGGAGTTAGAAGACGTAGAGGGCGGTCTAGGGAGACCTGGGAAAGTGGAATAAGGGATGCCTTTGACTGAAGAGGTCTAGATTGGATAAAAAGAGAATAATTGGCGCCCAAGATAGAGACTTATGGATCAGGCTCTACAAGCGGAAGCCTTACACTTGTTAGCGGTAGATGAGGATGGATTAAGTAAATAATTTTTTTGAAAATTGGGTAAGAGGTGCTGAAAACTGGCACATATGGATATTTTTACATTTTAATATGTATATATTGAGATATTAACATAATGACTTACTATACTACTACTATACATAAATAGATAATAACATTACTTACTGAGCTGTCCCTCTCCAGAAGGGAACACTTAATGAATTTAAAATATATTAAAGAAAACTGTATGTAGAAATGGTTAAGGAATATAATCAACTAATCTATCATAGCAGGAATTCAAGAGTTCAAGTTCAATCTTCTTAATAATGTTTAAAAAAATGTAACTAATTAAAATAAAATTAAAAAAACCTGTACCACTACAACCGATGGAGGGTCTTGGGTGCAGTACAATGTGAGGAATTACTGTTACAAGGCCAATGGTTGTGCAGGGATCATGTATCTAAATATATATATATATATATATATATATTTTTTTTTTTTTGAAATCAGAGATCTTTACCGACTTAACAGAACTGAAATTATTGAACAAACCCAAACCATACGATGGAAAACGGGACAAACACATTTTAGTTTCCTTAAGGATGCCAAAACGGGGAGTTTTATCCTATGTTCTCCAAAGAAAAAAAAAAGAATATCAGCAATAATGATTGTATCATTGTTCACAGATTTATGGAAAACTTGCAAAATATGACGACACTGAAAGATTTGAATGGTCTCATTCTTATTCTAAAGTTTACTATCCGAAAGGAAAGTACGACCCGAAAGGAGTTTTTCTATATTTTGAAAACTACAATGTAGAACTTCGCGAAAGAGTAAAATGCATCAGTGGCACTGAAGGTAATACTTTATTTCTTTTTTATAGTGCAAACAAACCTGCAAATTTTATTTGGTGTACCTAAAAGTACTTGATAAATGAAAATATTGTGTTTGTTCAAAAAGGTCAATTCCGACTATAATTGGACTTTCCATTTAGAAAATAATTTTTAATTATAGCCAGCAAAAGTAAAATAAGTAAAAAAAATTATTTTATTCACAGGTGCTAAATAGTCTGGACCCAGTCATTTTAAAGATTTTTATTGTTGTTGCCGACGTTTCAACCCAAGCCATGTCCCAAGGATCAGCCCAAGGACACGTCTCCAGTACTGGAGGTGTTCTGGGTACTGGAAACATGACCTGATAATGACCCCACATGCTTGGGTTGAAACATCGGCAACAAAAATCTTAAAATGACTGTGTCTAAAAAAAATCTATATATCTATCATTAAAATTTTGTTTGTAACAAATTGAAAATTTTCTCCTTCAAAAGAACTTTGTGCTTAAAAAGACTCAGTAAATTTCCTCATTATTCGTTCCTATTTAACTGATAGATATTTTAAAGTAAATCACAATATCGCTTATTCATCCCTTTTTTTCACAGTCCACTGGTGTTCCTCAAGGTAGTATCGTAAGTACTATCCTTTACACAGCTGAAATCCCTACACATCCTAACACTCATCATCACGTTTGCCGATGACACATGTATCATATCAGTTAATAATGATCCAACAATTGTATCCCAAACTCGTCAATCACACATCACAAACCTTTAGGAATGCTGTCAAAACTGGAGGATTAAAATAAATTCCAGTAAATCCCGTCCAATCTCCTTTACCCTTCGTTGTAAACCTATGACTTCCTGTCCAATAGTATCCTTTAATAATACTCCCCTTACCCTTGTGGAACAAATCCGCTACTTTGGACTCCACTTGGACAAAGGTCTAACTTGAAATCCTCATACCAGACTTAAACGACAAGAAACAGCTCGACGTTTCCGACAAATGCTCTAAGCTTTCAGTTAATTACAAAAGACTTATATACGTCACTACAATAAGACCTATTTGGACTTTGGGATTTGAGATTTGGGCTCTACGAATCCATTGAATTCCTCTAATATCCAATCCTTACAATCCAAAATCCTTCATAAAATCGTCAATGCTCCTTACTTTGTCACTTATAAAATCACCCATAATTTATTTTCCTTTTGTTTCCGATTTGGTCCAATCCAGATACCTATCCTTCCATAATAAACTTCTGAACCATCTGAAATCGCTCGTTTCTTACCTTGCTTCCTCCTCAATCCCTGATAACCTCCGAGGCGTCTGAAAAGAAGATGGTCTCGAGATCTCCTTTTATAAATACATTTTTAGAGTGCTACCGGTGAGTAGTTTCTCAACAAGTGTTTTCATGTTTTTATTATTTGTTATCACATTTACTGAATATATTTTTATCTTAATACAGTTTTAAATATCATAAATAAATATTTAAAAAAAAAAGTTTCTTCCCCTTTTGAAATACTACTGTTTCAGTAGATTGTAATGTAATTTATCCTTTTCTCTTTTTAAGGTGTTCCTATTTCCACTCAATGGGAAGTGCAGGGTTACTACTATCCTACCCAGATAGCTCAGTTCGGGCTGTCCCATTATTCAAAAAACTTGACTGAACCGGAGCCGCGATTCAAGATCATCGAAGATGGTTCTGCTCACAGAGCAAACTGGTCGGGAATAGTGGTTCGTGAAAACGGTGTTGTAAAATTCAGTAGTCAAGGTTTGTTCAAATTATTATCTCTTGGTTTAATTTCATCATATTATGTTTAATAACTATTTTTTTAATTTATATTATTTCACAGCCGGAGGAATCATCACGCTAAATCTTGATCATGTACTGGATTTTATAATGAGTGTTGACTTGCAGCTCAGTTATAAAGATAATTCTAGTTTAGTTGTCGTTCTTCAGAACAGAGAAAAATTTGAAACTTGGATTATTCACTACTCTTGCCAAGCACCCATGATATTTTCACAGGTAATTAGTAGTTTTTACTTTCACTTATCTATTGTAATATTTTTATTTTTACATTTATTTATCTCTCTGTCTGTCTGTATGTTATTGGCGACGTTTGTCTTTTAAAATCTGAAATCTGTCCTTCTAACCTTTAATCTTTCTGTTAGTCAATTAACCTGGTATTCGTGTATCTATTTAAGTTTGTAATAATGGGGTGTACCAGCTTAGACAGGATGAGAAGGATAAGGTAATAAGGTAAGACCGCCAAGAATGATAGGGGGACAACCCCTACACATCCAGGGCTCTGCAACCGAGGAGGCAATCCCCTGACGTTGCGAGGATAGGATAAGGAAAGACCGCCAAGAATGATAGGGGGACAACCCCTACACATCCAGGGCTCTGCAACCGAGGAGGCAATCCCCTGACGTTGCGAGGATAGGATAAGACCGCCAAGAATGATAGGAGGGGGACAACCCCTACACATCCAGGGCTCTGCAACCGAGGAGGCAATCCCCTGACGTTGCGAGGATAGGATAAGGTTAAGACCGCCAAGAATGACAGGGGGACAACCCCTACACATCCAGGGCTCTGCAACCGAGGAGGCAATCCCCTGACGTTGCGAGGATAGGATAAGGGTAAGACCGCCAAGAATGATAGGGGGACAACCCCTACACATCCAGGGCTCTGCAACCGAGGAGGCAATCCCCTGACGTTGCGAGGATAGGATAAGGTAAGACCGCCAAGAATGATAGGGGGACAACCCCTACACATCCAGGGCTCTGCAACCGAGGAGGCAATCCCCTGACGTTGCGAGGATAGGATAAGGTTAAGACCGCCAAGAATGAAAGGGGGACAACCCCTACACATCCAGGGCTCTGCAACCGAGGAGGCAATCCCCTGACGTTGCGAGGATAGGATAAGACCGCCAAGAATGATAGGGGTACAACCCCTACACATCCAGGGCTCTGCAACCGAGGAGGCAATCCCCTGACGTTGCGAGGATAGGATAAGGTAAGACCGCCAAGAATGATAGGGGGACAACCCCTACACATCCAGGGCTCTGCAACCGAGGAGGCAATCCCCTGACGTTGCGAGGATAGGATAAGGAAAGACCGCCAAGAATGATAGGGGGACAACCCCTACACATCCAGGGCTCTGCAACCGAGGAGGCAATCCCCTGACGTTGCGAGGATAGGATAAGACCGCCAAGAATGATAGGGGGACAACCCCTACACATCCAGGGCTCTGCAACCGAGGAGGCAATCCCCTGACGTTGCGAGGATAGGATAAGGGTAAGACCGCCAAGAATGACAGGGGGACAACCCCTACACATCCAGGGCTCTGCAACCGAGGAGGCAATCCCCTGACGTTGCGAGGATAGGATAAGGGTAAGACCGCCAAGAATGATAGGGGGACAACCCCTACACATCCAGGGCTCTGCAACCGAGGAGGCAATCCCCTGACGTTGCGAGGATAGGATAAGGTAAGACCGCCAAGAATGATAGGGGGACAACCCCTACACATCCAGGGCTCTGCAACCGAGGAGGCAATCCCCTGACATTGCGAGGATAGGTAACCCTACACTCCCAGGGACAACCTGGAAGATGCAAGGGGGACTGTAGGAAAACAAGGGCCAACCAAGTTATTCCTACGAAAGGAGAGAGGAGGTAGGTTAGGAGAGAAAAGAGAAGGAGGAGGGTAAAACCAAAAAATAACACATTGGTCTGGTTTCAAACTGTCAGACAGAGAGATACCAGGAGCCTATGTGAGAAGGTAGTGACTCGGGAGAGAGTGCCTGCCCTAGGAACCAGGCCAGTATTTAAACTAATAACCAGCCCTCAGACCTGTTAGAGACAACACTAGTAACAATTATTTTAATTAGGCCCTGAGATCTCTCTAAGTCCAAACTCCTTTTATTTTTATTTAATTATAGTACATGAAAACTCATTTTAAAAATATTACAAACATTAGTTATTTACAAAATCAGTAATTACAAAAAAAGAAATAATAAATAGCTTCTAAATGAAATTCATAGTTCACTAGGAAATTAACAGGTTGCGCTACTAAAATTATTAATCATTATTAGAAAAAACAATGACTTGCATAAATGAATTAAATAGTTCATTAGAACAATGCCTAGAGGGCGCCACGCGCAACCTCCAAAACACTATACCACTAATCATTTACAATTCAACCTTTGACAGAGAAGGACCTCCCGTCCGTTAGCTCTAATACATCGTACCTTTTAATCTTTATCGATAGTTAAATGTTATTATTGTTTTTACAATTTCAAATTAAATCACAACTAAAATTAATAAAATACATAGCAATAAATTTAATTTATAAATATATTACATATAAATGCTTCTTTTCACACAGTTCCAAAATAATAAAATAACAAAACATGAACATGAGTTCTATTAACAATTACAATTTATAAAGGACCCATTAAAATATGTTACATTTACCCTTTCCTGTGTTTTAAAAAAAAATGATTATTAAACATTTTTTTTTTTTTCACTATAATTGTCAAATAAAAAAAAAAATTCAGTGATATAATCATTAAAATTATTAGAAGTTATTATTTACTTTTTCATCAAACATTCTTTTAAACTAGTATAAAATTAGTTAACAATAGTTTTCATTTAAAAAAAGTGGCTATATATAAAAAAAAGTCATATCTTTTATCTCACAAGTAAGCAGTGTGTTTTATTACAAAGATCATTAGACACGAAAAATTTCCTTTTAAAAAAGTCCTTTTGGTCTGTACCCGATTGAGACTATCGGCTTTATCATAGTCATTTTATTTTGACTTTACCGCGGAGATAGCTTCTAGGGTCTTCTAGTTCTTCTTGGATTATTCTGCCTTCGTCGTTGATGGCGTGGTTAGGAAGAATCACATCCGTCGTTGTCTTCTCCCTCATAGGCTTAGACCATCTAGTAGTCGTCTCTGCTACAGTGTTAGGTACTGGCAGCTTCTCTAGTCCAGTGTGCTCCAACTCTATTTTACGGGCTTCCTGGCTTAAACTGACTGTTTTATAGCCTGAATTTACTAAGGCTTGAACCTTCTTATGATTTTGTGTTGTTTCTAATTTTGGATACTCATATTCTTCAATAGTTGGTTCTTCATTTTCTGTGATGGGTTGAGAAGGTTCGGTAGGTAAAGATATAGTTTGAATGTGGTTTACCGAGCCATTGTTCCTTAATTTCCAGTCCTCATGACTATCTTCTGGTATATAAGCAATATTTATGTTATCTTCCTCTTCGGTCTGTACTGGCTGTTTAGCAATTGCTGGCCTGTAGTTCTCTTCGAAAGTCTGATTATTTATATTCTGTTTTGCCTGTTCATCAGGATATGTTTTCTGTTGATAACTGTTGACAGGTTCTTGATTATTTTTCTCCCTTACTACGGTAATTTTGTTCACTTGAGGATTGGACTGATTCCAATTCTGGCTTCTATCAAAGTTTCTTCTTTGTACTGGGTTTGAGTAGCTTTTATCATAAGGTCGCAAACCAGTGTTGTACTGACTAGTGTTCATTTTTTCATTATAAGGTCTTGAAGGCAGGTTATTTCCTTGGTCCTTCACCTGTTGATTAGTTTTCATATGAGGTGGCTCTTTATCTTCAAGATATCTAGCCGAAGGCCTCTGGTAGGAATTATTTCCCTTGAGAATTCTTTCTCTCCCTAAACGGTCTAGAACCTCCAAAAATCCATCAATATTATTAATGCCTTGGTATAACATTATTTCTTCGATAGTGTTCCCAAAATGTCTTGCCATAGATTTACAGATGAATTCCTCGTCTAGCTTATGTTCACATGCCCGAGCTCTTAGTATCATATTGCAGAAGTACTGCTGCGGACTTATATTTGTGTGGTAGAAGTAACTTCCATGATTCAATTCTTCCCAGAAAATAGGGTCATATTTTCCTCTCCAAAATTTTCTTAAAAATTTTTCACTGAAACTGTCTATTTCATTTATTTCAGTTTCGTGCATTAGCCACCATACTAATGCCTCATCTCTTAGGTGCTGTCTGATGAAGTCCTGAAATATTAGTGTGTGTCCCCATAATTGATATTGTGATCTTAGAGAGTTATTAAACTCTGTAGGAATATCCTTCTTACTGTTCCTAAAGAATAAAGGTTTCTGGTTCATCCCCTTATTTTGCTGAATCAACGTTGAGTTCAGCGCTTGGAACATGTCTGAGATACCACAATTACTGGCTATTATACTTGGTGGCCAGTTGGTATCAGTTCGTAGTATATTAGGAGTTCTTAGCTCCATATTTACAACTTCTATAGGTTTGTTCTTCTCTAAGATGTTAATTCTTTTGCTTAGAGCTTCTATCTTTTCCTCATGGGTATTTAAGTCTCCCTTTATCTCCTCATTTAGTTTGTTTACATGTATTCTTAGGTTTTCATATTTTTCTGTATTTTCTATTCTATTTTGTTCAACCGAAGTGGTCAGTTTTGTCTCAAAGTCAAGTTCTATGTTATTCAGCCTGTCTTCATTCTTCTCAATCTGGTTGGCCAAATCAGACTGTATTTCTTCCATCCTTCTTCCTAGTTTCTTTGCTACTAGGTCTATATTATTTGTTACATTTTCTAGTTTTTCATTTAATTTTTCAGACTGATTTCTGAATTCTTCTGATACCAGTTGTCTCATCTCGCTTCTAGATTCTGAAGCCTGTTCTTTGAATCCTTCTGATATTAGTTCTATTTCGGTTTTTAATTGTTTTGACAGTTTAGCGAACATCATTTCCATCAACATCTCTGTTTTTCCAAGTTGTGTCTTTGTTTGACCTTCTTCATAATATTGGGACATTTCTTCGGTAACTGGTTCGTTAATGTTATCCATTTCTAACCCAAAGAGTCGGTTATTTTAATCGTTCCTTTACAAGGGATGCCAAAATGTAATATTTTTATTTTTACATTTATTTATCTCTCTGTCTGTCTGTATGTTATTGGCGACGTTTGTCTTTTAAAATCTGAAATCTGTCCTTCTAACCTTTAATCTTTCTGTTAGTCAATTAACCTGGTATTCGTGTATCTATTTAAGTTTGTAATAATGGGGTGTACCAGCTTAGACAGGATGAGAAGGATAAGGTAATAAGGTAAGACCGCCAAGAATGATAGGGGGACAACCCCTACACATCCAGGGCTCTGCAACCGAGGAGGCAATCCCCTGACGTTGCGAGGATAGGATAAGGAAAGACCGCCAAGAATGATAGGGGGACAACCCCTACACATCCAGGGCTCTGCAACCGAGGAGGCAATCCCCTGACGTTGCGAGGATAGGATAAGACCGCCAAGAATGATAGGGGGACAACCCCTACACATCCAGGGCTCTGCAACCGAGGAGGCAATCCCCTGACGTTGCGAGGATAGGATAAGGTTAAGACCGCCAAGAATGATAAGGGGACAACCCCTACACATCCAGGGCTCTGCAACCGAGGAGGCAATCCCCTGACGTTGCGAGGATAGGATAAGGAAAGACCGCCAAGAATGATAGGGGGACAACCCCTACACATCCAGGGCTCTGCAACCGAGGAGGCAATCCCCTGACGTTGCGAGGATAGGATAAGACCGCCAAGAATGATAGGGGGACAACCCCTACACATCCAGGGCTCTGCAACCGAGGAGGCAATCCCCTGACGTTGCGAGGATAGGATAAGGTTAAGACCGCCAAGAATGACAGGGGGACAACCCCTACACATCCAGGGCTCTGCAACCGAGGAGGCAATCCCCTGACGTTGCGAGGATAGGATAAGGGTAAGACCGCCAAGAATGATAGGGGGACAACCCCTACACATCCAGGGCTCTGCAACCGAGGAGGCAATCCCCTGACGTTGCGAGGATAGGATAAGGTAAGACCGCCAAGAATGATAGGGGGACAACCCCTACACATCCAGGGCTCTGCAACCGAGGAGGCAATCCCCTGACGTTGCGAGGATAGGATAAGGGAAGACCGCCAAGAATGATAGGGGGACAACCCCTACACATCCTGGGCTCTGCAACCGAGGAGGCAATCCCCTGACGTTGCGAGGATAGGATAAGACCGCCAAGAATGATAGGGGGACAACCCCTACACATCCAGGGCTCTGCAACCGAGGAGGCAATCCCCTGACGTTGCGAGGATAGGATAAGGGTAAGACCGCCAAGAATGACAGGGGGACAACCCCTACACATCCAGGGCTCTGCAACCGAGGAGGCAATCCCCTGACGTTGCGAGGATAGGATAAGGGTAAGACCGCCAAGAATGATAGGGGGACAACCCCTACACATCCAGGGCTCTGCAACCGAGGAGGCAATCCCCTGACGTTGCGAGGATAGGATAAGGTAAGACCGCCAAGAATGATAGGGGGACAACCCCTACACATCCAGGGCTCTGCAACCGAGGAGGCAATCCCCTGACATTGCGAGGATAGGTAACCCTACACTCCCAGGGACAACCTGGAAGATGCAAGGGGGACTGTAGGAAAACAAGGGCCAACCAAGTTATTCCTACGAAAGGAGAGAGGAGGTAGGTTAGGAGAGAAAAGAGAAGGAGGAGGGTAAAACCAAAAAATAACACATTGGTCTGGTTTCAAACTGTCAGACAGAGAGATACCAGGAGCCTATGTGAGAAGGTAGTGACTCGGGAGAGAGTGCCTGCCCTAGGAACCAGGCCAGTATTTAAACTAATAACCAGCCCTCAGACCTGTTAGAGACAACACTAGTAACAATTATTTTAATTAGGCCCTGAGATCTCTCTAAGTCCAAACTCCTTTTATTTTTATTTAATTATAGTACATGAAAACTCATTTTAAAAATATTACAAACATTAGTTATTTACAAAATCAGTAATTACAAAAAAAGAAATAATAAATAGCTTCTAAATGAAATTCATAGTTCACTAGGAAATTAACAGGTTGCGCTACTAAAATTATTAATCATTATTAGAAAAAACAATGACTTGCATAAATGAATTAAATAGTTCATTAGAACAATGCCTAGAGGGCGCCACGCGCAACCTCCAAAACACTATACCACTAATCATTTACAATTCAACCTTTGACAGAGAAGGACCTCCCGTCCGTTAGCTCTAATACATCGTACCTTTTAATCTTTATCGATAGTTAAATGTTATTATTGTTTTTACAATTTCAAATTAAATCACAACTAAAATTAATAAAATACATAGCAATAAATTTAATTTATAAATATATTACATATAAATGCTTCTTTTCACACAGTTCCAAAATAATAAAATAACAAAACATGAACATGAGTTCTATTAACAATTACAATTTATAAAGGACCCATTAAAATATGTTACACTATATATGTAATATATAGTAAGGACTCATCTTTACGATGCATCATATTGCGATCGTGAAAGTTTTCGAATCTTTGTTTTCAACAGAAATACATGTTTTGAGGTTCCCTGAGTCCAAATAACCAAGTCCCACAAAATGATCTGGTGTGTGCGTGCGTGCGTGCGTGCGTGCGTGCGTGCGTGAACAGCCTAGCTCAAAAACGAAAAATGGTACGATACTGAAATTGCCCATTTTAGGTTTTTTTAGTCTTGGATGTTACAGCAACATTTTTGTCAAAATCGGCAAACCGGAAGTGGTACTTTATATAATCCATTTAATAAATTTTTACGATTTCCTCAAAGACGGCTCAAATGATTTTGATTAAATTCAGTATATCAGTATATTATTAAGCAGTTTTTAATATAATGTAGGTTTTATTATCATTTGGGGAGTGGGGTAGCTCAGTGGTAGGGCACTGAGCTTCCAATGCAAAGGTCCCAGATTCGAACCCCGGCTCATGGCAGAAAATTTATTTATCTGTTTCATTGGCCGTGGGGCGAACCTGGGGAAGGGAGACCCCCTTGGGGCACACCCAGCCTCTATGAAGTGGGTACCCTTAATTAAATAATTGATTAAGGGGGAAAACCTGGTGGTTGAGCGTGATCTCGGTCAAATCACCTCCTTGCACAACCGTTGACCTAGAAACAGTGCTTTCCCTAAATAGTACTGAACCCCAGACTTCCCCAGACCCTTCATGGGTTGTAGTGGTACAGGTTTTTTTATTATCATTGATGTTCTCTAACAGAGCTTAAATGGCTAATTTTCAATATTAGCTTCTTCTAAAGTATCTTTAATTTTTTTTATTTGAAATAATTAACCATTTCACATTAATCTTTAATATAAAAAATAGTTGAACATAAAATATGAAAATTTTTCATAATTAACATAAGGAGAAATAAAAGATCGTAACGGATAATAGTTGTAATGAAAGAAACAAAGGAATACGAGCGGGGCCGAACTCGCCCGAAAAATTGCAACAGGCTTCCATATGTAACAGGAGCTTAATATAATATGGACTCTGACAATATTACGTACATATACATATGGGGTTGTCATAAATCCTATTGTTGGTATTATTTAATATTTAATTGTATAGAATACAGGGATATTAAAATTTGTATATATAAGGGTATTTAAACAAATAAAAATACCCACAATGAATTTAAAATAAATATAGTGTTAATAATTTTTACTTACACTTCCCGCTTGTCTGATAATACTTATTTCTGCTAAGAAGGGGGTGGTAAGTGAAAGTCGTGTGATGTGAGCACCAGATTTTTTTTATATTATAAGAAATTTTAATGATCATTTACTGTTTTATGAAGTAGTTTTCAACCTTCTACTAAATATGCAAACATTTAAACTCAATTTTAAAGGAAAATGTCATGAGTTATGAAATTGATTTAGAGAATCTTACTTTCAAGGGTACCAAAATCGCTTCTTAAGCAAGGTCCCCCCTGAATTTCCATTTATTTGTGAAACTACTTATTTTTATTTATTATTACCAATTTTTCTGAAAGTAATCTAAAGTATCTTTTCGGTGAGAATTTAATTTTAAATTTTACTAGGAGGATACCCTTGTCTGCCGAACGATGGACTGATCCCCATTTTACAAATTATCCAACTGTTCATTTAATTTTACTAGTCGTTCCTCAAATTACATATATTCTGTAGTTCATATTATATTATTTTTTATCAACATAAAATAAACAGAACAAAACCACAATTAACAAAATTTTTTAATTTCTTTAAAAATTTATGTTTTACATCACACCTTTTTGCCAATCTATATTATTGTATTATAATTGTTTATTATAAGAGAAAAATAATTCTGGGAATAAGAAGTATCTTTGTTATGGTCCGCCCTGTTTCGTTTTTGTAAAATAAAATATGACACGGTCACCGAAAACTTTTTTATATATTGTAGAAATTAAATGTTATTTTTATTTAACACGGAAATTTTATTCGCTATATCGAATATTTTTAAAAAATAAAATTCATGTTCCTTTAATATGAAGAGGATTGACTAGATATTGTAAATTTTGAAATGTTTCATTCAAGATTATTTTTTTTGTGTAAATTATTGCTCATTAAGTTTTCAATGTCAACGATGGAGGATTCAAAATAAAAGTTAAAAAAAAAAAAAAAGGGATCAGGTTACCTTCAAAATAAAAAAAACACAAATTTATCATTCAAATCTTCCTCATCTAATTAAAAATGGATTCCCGCTATACTTTTATAGCAAAATATCAGATGTTATATAACTGCTTAATTTTCAGGATGCTGAAGTTTATTACAAAATAAACTGTGAAGAAGGCGAATGGACTCACCTTACTAGAGATCTTCTCGTTGACCTACAGAAAGGACTTTCTATTCAAAATAAACCTAAAAAGAAATTTTCTAGATCTAAATATAAGGTTTGTAATTTTTTTAATTTACTGTTAATATTATCATTTTAATGCCGTATCCTTTTTAGTATTCATTTTGATGTGAATATATGTATACTGAACTGACCAGACGATACAAACAACTGACATCTTTTGGACTACAGATCTCCACTCAACTTACTAAACAACCGACCAATCTACACCACTATACTAAGACCTATTTGGACATACGGAGCAGAACTTTGGGGTTCCGCAAAACTCACACACATAAACAAAATTCAAACCATACAATGCAAAATACTTCGTAAAATCGTCAATGCTCCTTGGTTTATTTCAAATCACACAGACATGAACATACCAAAAGTAAAATCCTACATACACAACAAGTACGCAATATTTCATTCTTCTACTCTCAATCATCCAAATCCACTCGTTCTATCTCTATCTTCCTCCCTGTTACCTGGTGAGCCTCGAAGACGACTAAAAAGGCAGTGGCCTAGAGATCTTCTGCTGAAAAGCTAAGAAAATATCAAGAATTCAAGAAGATAAAATAAATTCCAAAACATCTGCTTGACGCGTTACAACGCAGTGGCAAATTTAATGAAAAATAAATATGTATAACTTAGCAATATTCTTAAAATCCGATAAATCTGTTTTACGATTATACAAGAGGCAATATCCAAACTGGATTTAGAAGTGGAACAAGCACATTACACCAGGTTTTTTTCTAAACCAGGTGTTCGTAAAACAATGTGAAGTAACACAGGATGTGCATGCCTTGTTTGCCAATTTCAAAGCAGCTTATGATTACATATACTGAAATCTTCACCATATTTTCATTTCTAATGAAAGAAATATTAAAATGTTACATTTGATTTTAGATGTGAGAATTTAAACAATTAAATATCATGTCTTGTGTGACGACAGAATTTTGAAAGAAAACAAACGAAGGATATTCCACATTATTGTAGAAGCCATCCTGAGATATGTAGTTAAACCTGGACGATGTCATCCCAGCTCTGTTGAAATATACATGCTGTGGAGATGTATTTCTGTAGGAGTTGCCTACATGTGACAAAGATGAACAGAATTATAAATGAGGTCATTAGGGACAGGATAGAGGCTCCTCTATTAGTCAAGCAGAGCATTGGACGGCGGAGTCTGGTGTGGTATGGCCATGTGAGACAAATGTCTACCGATTGATCGGCAGCCACGGGGAAGACAGAGATGAGGACGACTTGGAAAAAGGCGGATGTACGATGTGGAAGAGGAGTTTGCTGGCCAAAGTCCTCAGGATGTAGATTGGCTTGACCACTACTGCTGGAGCTCAGTCTTGGCATGAAAAGGCGACCTTCATTGGAATGCCTGTATAACAATAATAAACATATCAACGAAAATCCCTTTTATTTGATACCTCATTAATCAAAATCCATCGCTCATGAGAGCTGGAAAAGGTATCTATACCGCATTACATATTGTTTAAATAATTGTGGGTAAAATGGTTGACTGTCGTGAATAATGAAGAGAAGAATAGTTGGGGTGATCAATATTAATATTTATTTTGACATTTGCCGACGTTTCGACCTGAAGTTCAGGCCTTCATCAGGGCTAAGGATAGAACCAGATAACAAGGGATGAGAAACATAAGTAGTGTAGGTAAAAAAAATTAAATTAAAATGAAATTGTTAGAATAATGACAATAGTAAGAACTAAGAGATAAATAATAATAACCGCTACAAAGTGCGGAATGATGAAGTAAACATAATAAAAAAAGGTGACATAAGTATTAAAATGGGAATCTTAGAATAAAATGTAAAACAGAAAAAAGGAATATGAAGTTATATAAGATATGAAAATAATGAATAAATATGAAAATTTTCTTTTATCTCTTTCTTATTTCAGCTTTCTCAGTTTCTTCCCTCCTTCCTTTCATTCCATTTCTCTGTTTTAACTCTTTATTATATTATACATTGTCTGTACATTTTGATAGACTTTACAATATTTAAATTTTCTATCTAACTACTCTATTCGCAATGTCTTAATTTTACTATTTATTTTCATACCTTATAAAACTTCATATTTTTCTGTTTTACATTTTATTCTAAGATTCCCATTTTAATACTTATGTCACCTTTTTTGATTATGTTTACTTCATCATTCCACACTTTGTAACGGTTATTATTATTTATCTCTTAGTTCTTACTATTATCATTATTTTAACAACTTCATTTTACTTTAATTTTTTTTACCTACACTACTTATGTTTCTCGTCCCTTCCTTGTGGTTCTTTCCTTAGCCCTGATGAAGGCCTGAGAACTTCAGGTCGAAACGTCGGCAAATGTCAAAATAAATATTATCATTTATTTTTGCTTTCTTATTTGACTGATCACCCCAACTATTCTTCTCTTATTGTTTAAATAATTTTTCTAATTCAAGTTTATTAGGAAGCCATATTCTTCTTCTTCATTCTTACCTTATTAGATGGCTATGTTGGGAAGTAAAAATATAAAATTGGTGGTCCTCCTTAGGTCCTCCAGACTTCCGAAAAGCTTGGTCCCAAGGTCTGCGGGTTGGGGACATATCTGCCTTCGCATGACCTCCACCAGCTGGCAGTTCTGCAGAATGTGCTCTGTCGTTTGTTCATTTTGGCCACATTCACACAGAGGACTGGGTCCTATCTTGGAAGCCATATTAATTATAAGGTCTTTGGCATTCGTTACTTCTAAATTTCAATGACGAATTATAAAGAATAAAGTATATGATTGAAAGTGAATGCTATTTGAAATGCCAAAGACATTATGTAGGAAATGATGTTATTAAATTGTATTTTGTTTGACATCATCATTAATCTTGTTATTTCATTGTTATCAGGTGACCAAGATTATTCTCGAAGGGCAAGGGAAGCTGGACAACCTCACGATGGCTACGAGCCGCCACCTTGACCAGTTCTACGCTGCTGCTAATTGGCTCGTGCACCACCAGGATCCAGCCACGGGCGGCTGGCTCAACATCGTACGCCGACGATGGGGTCCGCCGGGCATGAAAGATTTGTTACCTGGCTGGTATGACTATATCTAATACTATATTTGTTGCTTATACTGATTAACTGTTATGATTTTGCAGCTATTCTTTGGGAATTGATTGTGGAATTTTAGGTAATAGTTACAATTTCTTATAAGGAGAAGACAGTTTAAAATTCATTGTCTTTTCATTAACCTCAATAATAGACCTGCGTTTAAAAAGCGTGAAAAGAGCTTTCTTCTCTCTTTCAAAGGTATTGAAATCCTTTCTTCCGTCTTCTTTCTGGTTTCCAATCTCAAATTGCTTAGGCCATCGTCCCTCTTTCATCCTCATCACATGCCCATACCACTTCAGCCTCATAGTTTCAATGATGTGTAGAATGTTCTTCGTTTGTTCTACTCGTTTCCTTATTTCATAGTTTGGAACTTTTTGAAGGCGAGACACCACATGATTGTCTCCAATAATCCATTTCTTGGGCTAATAATCTTTTTGATTGACTCATTAATTGCTCAAGATTCGGTTGAATAGAAAATAATACTTTACAAGAACGATTTGTAAATAATTTTTTTTATTTTTAAGGACACTGCTTTACTCCACAGTACTGAGGATTATCTTTCCATTGCTTATCCTCTTTTCAATATCCATTTCTGATGTTCCTGTCGTATTCACCCGGCTCCCTAGATGCTTAAATTGAGTTTCAGGTTTCAACATTCAGTTGTCCAATTGTAGATGTTCACCTTGGCTATTGATGGCCATATATACAGTTTTTTCTTCTCTAACTTCGAGCCCCAAGGTTGATTCCTGGAGAATTTTTCTCATCATATATACCACATCTTCTGCCTCAATTAGTATCTGGTGGTCAGCAAACTGGAGATTGAGTCGGCAATCATTCCCAATCTTTATGACCATACCTCTACATTGTTTCTTCCATTCTATTAGTGCCCTTTCTACATAAATATTAAAGAGAAGTGGAGATAGTGATGTAAATAACCTACTGAAAGTTTAATTGTTAAATAATTAGTTTTGGCAGGAATAGCGAATAGCCTTCCGCTTTTATATCGGGGATTTAGGTTATTTACACTCGTGAATTATAATTATTAAAACAAAACTCCGGTACTGGATATAGACTTTTTGAGGGTGTTTAACTGTCGTTGAGAATTTGGGAATCTAATACCTTTTTGTGACACTGAGTGAGAAGAAACAATAACAATTTCTATATGAAATTTGGGACTTAGTAAATACACTTTGAATGAATGGACTCACCTGGTTTGCTATTCTTCAATCGTGAGGCATATGGGACAACTAAATAAAAGGACTATTCACTCCTGTCTAACAAAATAATTTATTTCTACAACTGATATAAGTGAATATATTAAAGTCTAACAACCGTAGGCTTGATATTCTTAATCTTCAGTGTAGTAAGCCTCTCTTCCCAAATGATGTCTTCTTGGGTTGGTGTCCAGGCCTCAAGTGCCTGGCGTCCTCTTCGCCATCTGTTCCCAGCTACCTGCTCTGACCTTTTTCAGCGTCCCTCCTCATCGATCGTTTATCGATATGAGACCTTTCCATGAACAATTTGTCCACTGCACAATTGAGTAAAATTCACAGTGTAATCTCACATTCCTATATATTATATATTCCTTCTCATTCCCTCATACAATGTCGTCTAAAGGAGTAAATACAGGGGGATGTCTACTACAGTGAACATCCCTGTTTTAAACCTTTCGTTATGAGAAAGCTATTACTAACAGAGGTTCCGATTTTAACACATGCTTTGCCATCCTCATATAACATTTTTTATGGCTAGGGACTTATGTTGAAGTCTTCCAACGTTTCCCACAGCTTATTTAAAGACACTGTGTCATAGGCTTTTTGTAAGTCCACGAATATTAGGTGTACTTCTTCATTGTGTGTCATTGCCTTCTTCTGGAGTTGCCTAATTACAAAGATGTGTTCACTTCAGAACCGCTCTGTTCTAAATCCAGCTTATTCTTTGGGGATGATATGCCCACATTCTTCTTCCAGTCTCCGTTTAATGATCCTGCCATATATTCTTCTCATGCTACTGGTCTCTGTTATTCCACGATAGTTCGTACAAACTTTTTTTCTACCTTTCTTAAAGATAGGGGTAATGTGGCCAACTTTCCATTCTTCTGGTACTTCACCTTTGCTTATACCGTGAGTCATATACTTAGAAAGGGATTGGATAAGTTCTTTTGGTCCATTTTTTATTAGTTCTATTGGCACATCACCTGGACCTTGTTTTTTTATTCCTTTCAGAGCGAGAGTGATTTCTTCAACTGATATGGATAGAAAGCCTTCCTGATCCCAGTTTTCTGTTATTCTACTTGTTGGTTGAGTAATACAGGCCTACTATTATATAATTATATTTATTGTTGCTAATTTATTATGAGTCATATTTAATGCTATAAGTTTTGTTTTTATTATTTATGTTTGAACACATTACTAGACTCAAATTTTAATATTGTTCATAATATCTATGTATTTATTTGTACAGACATTTCTTTGGCAAATAAAAAAAAAATGATTTTCGATGTAAAAAAAAATGATAGTATTTTAAAATAACTCGTTCTTTGAATTTATTTTAGGTTGTCAGCCATGGGACAAGGTCACGGGATATCCGTCTTAGCAAGAGCATACCATACTTCGAGGGATCCAATATATTTGAAGGCCGGTCTGGAAGCGCTGCGCCCTTTCCACACTCTCAGCGAGAACGGTGGTGTCCTCGCCAAGTTCTTTGGAGGCTATCCCTGGTACGAAGAATATCCAACGCAGCCATCATCATTTGTCCTGAATGGCTTCATATACTCACTTATTGGTCTTTATGATCTTCTTACGCTTGCTCCTAAGGTATGTCAAATCATCGCTTTGAGAACAATCGAATTCTCTTACTTTATTATTCAGGGTGGTAACCGATCATTGGAAAAATAGCAAAAGTCAAGGAATTTTTTAGTACGTAAATATTTTTTTCAAATTGGAAATAAACATACAGTGGATATCGTGTATGACCTTAAAGGAGTAAACTTCGTCGTTATAAGTGACCATGGTCTATATTCATTCACCTTTGACTATCAATAACGGCACTGGTCGTTATGTTGAATGAAATCAAACAAGGGTAATGAATAAAATTTAAGCACAATAGACTTAAAACAGTGTGTGATATGAAAAGTGAACTTGAAGATCTGGCTGGCAAGCACTCGTTCATTTGACCCGTGGTGTTCCTTAAAAGAACATTTATTAATCAGAAATGTCACAGTTGGTATCATATGAATAATTATTGCGCTGTTTATAGTAATAAAGAAACTAAATTACTTATGATGTAGAGCAGGTTGACTGTGATATAATATGAGAAGGAGTTGGTAGGGGAGGGGGGAGGGGGTTGTCAAATAAATACTAAATTTTAAAAAATAGTATTTTTAATTATTATGCCGACGTTTCGATCCACCTTGGAGATCTTCATCAGGACTACAAAAGATACAACATATATAAGGTACATGGTGAAAATAAAATAAATGAATTATAAGTAGATATTAAATAAGAAACTGTTGTCTGATAAAGAAATAATAAGATGACATCAGACATATAGTGGATGACTATATCTCTGATGTCATCTTATTATTTCTTTATCAGACAACTGTTTCTTATTTAATATCTTCTTATAATCCATTTATTTTATTTTCACCATGTATCTTTTATAGCCCTGATGAAGACCTGCAAGGTGGGTCGAAACATCAGCTTTATAATTAAAAACACTCTTTTTTAAAATTTAATATTTATTTGACCGCACCTCCCTCCTCCCTTCCCCCCCGACCAACTCCTGCTTAAATTACTTATGAGAAACTACATTAATATTAGAATCCTCCGTAGCTCACTTTATTTTATAATAGAGAAAATCAGTGCTTTATATGTCAAGTATCAACTTTTACCTCCTCTCAGTTTATGAAAATAAATTAAAAGTGATACAAATAAATTACTAAAAGTTTAGTTTTCTAAAATGAAAAATACTAATTAAGCCTAAAAAATGCTTCCTCTAAAACTTTATATTTATTATTTAAAATACTGATTTTTATTTATTTTTTTACTCGAATCACTTAGTAATCAATTCTTTTTCATGTGTAATAAATAAATTTAATGAAAAACTATCATTAAATAGAGAAAAGTCAGAGAATTTTATTTTAACTGTCTGGTAGCCACCCTGATTACTTTAATAATTAATAGTGAGTAAATGGTTGACTGTCGTGAATAATGAAGAGAAGAATAGTCGGGGTAATCAGTCAAATAAGAAGGCAAAAATAAATGATAATATTTATTTTGACATTTGCCGACGTTACGACCTGAAGTTCAGGCCATCATCAGGGCTAAGAAAAGAACCAGATAACAAGGTATGAAAAACATAAGTAGTGTAGGTAAAAAAATAAAATAATTAAAGTAAAATGCAGTTGTTAGAATAATGACAATAGTAAGAAATAAGACATGAATAATAATAACCGGTACAAAGTGTGGAATGATGAAGTAAACATAATCAAAAAAGGTGACATAAGTATTGAAATGGGAATCTTAGAATAAAATGTAAAACAGAAAAATATGAAGTTATATAAGAAATGTAAATAAATAGTAAAATTAAGATATTGCGAATAGAATAGTTAGATAGAAAATTGTGATGTTGTAAAGTCTATCAAGATGTAAAGACAACGTATAATATAATAAAGAGTTAAAACATCGATCGAAACGTCGGCAAATGTCAAAATAAATATTATCATTTATTTTTGCCTTCTTATTTAACTGATTACCCCAACTATTCTTCTCTTCTTTAATAATTAATATTATGTGAGGATCCTAGAAGGAGTATAAGTAGTAAAAATTTTAACTTTTGAATGAATGATGGTTGAAGATAGTTTTTCAAGGAATTTAATTTCCAAAATTATTTCAGGAAAACAGAAACGAGGCAAAAGTTTTATTTGAGCAGGGAATGGAATCTTTGAAAAAGCTGCTCACTCTCTACGACAGCGGATCCGGTTCCTTCTACGACTTGCGACACCTGTCGTTGGGTTCGGCTCCCAACGTGGCGAGGTGGGACTATCACGCCACTCACGTTAATCAGCTGTTGCTATTGGCTACGATAGACAACAGCACTATTATATCCAGCACTGCCTCACGTTGGATCAGGTAACTGTAAAAATTTAAATACTCATTATTTGCGACTGTATTAAGCTAACTCATCTGATTGCCAGAAAGGAACTCAGAAGTTTTCAGATAAAGGCACTGCTTTTTTTAATCTTAACGAATCTCAATAAGCTGCTCGGTACTTATCCAGTAATGGGTAGCATCAAAACCTCCCTTCTTATCTAATCTCATTTCAGATAACCTCCCTTATCTCATCTAACCTAAGTTATATAAGTTTTTGTTTCTTGTGCCAGGTGTTTATTTAATTATGTCACATTGTGGGAATTGCCGTCTTCAGAAGAAGAGGCTATCAAATATTTTCAAGACGCCGGTATATTTGATAAGGTGAAATATTGTGATGAGGGTCATAAAATGAAGTTCGACGGGAAGATTAAATGGAGATGCTTTCGTAGGTGTAACAAAACTGTTTCTATTAGGAAAGGAACGTGGTTAGAGGGGTCGATGATTTCTTTTTTATGGGCTTAGCTAAGTGGAGAAATAAAAAACTCAGAGGAACTGCCAGACAACACCTGGATTCATATTTATGTGAGTTTTTGTGGCGGCGGGCGCATAGAGATCAGGATCCCTTCCTCGCTATTTTAAATACCATAAAATTATTTTCCCTAGCAAAATAAAATTTTTCGTATTTTGTTTCTATCGTTTCTTCATAATGTTTGTTTTATATGTACATATGCTGTTTAAGTAGTTTTTTATTATTTCATCTTTTTTTGTCTATTTTTTGCCTATTTTTATTATTTCATTTATTTTTATATATATTTTGCAATGTTTTCGTAATGTTTTTTAATTATATATTTATAATGTTTTGGTCTATTTTAATATATACTTTGTAAAATAAAAGCATTTTGTTATTATTACATTTGTTTCTGTTTTTGTTCACAATTTCAATAATATCAATACAATACAATAAATATGAATACGAACATATAATAATATGAATATAATACAATAAATATGAATACGAAGAGCTTATCAGTGTTAAGGTTATAAACATTGGCAGATAGCAGTCGGACGCTACCCGCTATTAGATAAGTACCAGCTGCTCAAACAGAAAGAAATCAGGAAGATGACTGACAATTTGGAAAGAGAGTCCTGTGAATAAATTCAAAAGAAAAAAAAAAACATCAGAGCTTTAATTTTGGTTGAAAAACAGATGGAAGTAATTTAATGGTTTTATTAATGCTTATCTTGAATAAAATTGAGTTGAATAGAATTTTAGAATCAGTCGAGCAGCTGAATTTCTTTTTCATCTTTTTATTTAGTATGAGAAGGAATTAGTCGGGGGTGCGGTCAAATAAATACTAAATTAAAATATAGTAATTATTTAATTTTAATTTTAATTTTAATTACTATATTTTAATTTAGTATTTATTTGACCGCACTCCCGACTAACTCCTTCTCATATTATATCAACGGTCAACCATCTCTACATCATTTTTATTTAGTAGTTGTGACTACTAAAATGGCACCCAAAATAAATGTTCATTTGAGAAAAATTATCCAGTTACGTGTAAAATCATCTAAACTCGTTCGTCCAATCTATAAGATGCAAAAAAGATGGGTCGCTATCGAATTTTCAAAATGACTACCTCTAAAATAGCTTAAAGAGTGGAAATATCAACTCTACTGTGGAACTAAATACCTTAACAATATTCCATAGTATTTAAAATGTTTGACCTTTATATTATAGTATTAAAAGAAATAATAAAGAACAAAACAATATTGTTTATATATTATAAAATAAAGTTGTGTTTTTTTATTACTTCACCACATTTATTTCACTTTTACATCTACATCGGCTACGTTTCGGCTAGTAAGCCATTTTCAAGCCGTATCATTCCGTAATTCACTAATGGTGCCTAATTCTTCTATAGATGACTTCCAACTCTTCCTGATCCTTGACCGATTTAGTCTCTGATCGGTCACGTCCAAATCCATGTCTGTAATTTGTTTTAGGTGAAGTATTTTAATAATATAAAATAAGGCTGTGTTTTTTTTTATTACTTCACCACATTCATTTCAATTTTACATCCATATCGGCTACGTTTCGGCTAGTAAGTGGTCGAGTTGGAAGTCATTTAAAGAGGAATTAAGCTCTATTAGTGGATTACGGAATGATATGGCTTGAAAATGTCTTACTAGCCGATGTAGATGTAAAAGTGAAATAAATGTGGTGAAGTAATAAAAAAAAAAAAAAAACCAAGCCTTATTTTATATTATTAAAATACTTCATCTAAATCAAATAACACAGATGAAAAATATTGTTCTTAATAACGTTAACAAAATTGGGAATAGAAAGTAGTGAAAGCAAAGTTTATTTCACAAGTACCTGAATGTATTACTGTTATTATTTATTTCATAAGGTTCTAACTTTGCTATTCTTATATATCTTAGCTTTGTTTCCGCTATTTTTTATTCCCAACTTTGTTAACATTATTTTATTTTTCCTTTATTTATAGGGAGTGGGGTAGCTCAGTGGTAGGGCACTGAGCTTCCGATGCAAAGGTCCCAGGTTCGAACCCTGGCTCATGGCAGAAAATTTATTTATCTGTTTCATTGGCCGTGGAGCGACCCTGGGTCGGGAGACCCTCCTGGGGCACACCCAGCCTCTGTAAAGTGAGTACCCTTAATTATATAATTAATTAAGGGGGAAAACCTGGCGGCTGAGCGTGATCTCGGTCAAATCACCTCCTTACACAACCGTTGACCTAGAAACAGTGCTTTCCCTAAATAGTACTGAACCCCAGACCCTTCATGGGTTATAGTGGTACAGGTTTTTTTTTATTTATATATCATATATTTGCCTTTCCACATATTTATTAATGTTCAGTTTACTCTGCCTACACGTTATTAGATTATACCTTTTATCTAAATATTACTTATACTGTCGACTAGTTTCTCATATTTATATTATCTCGTCTTTTTTTTAGCCCTGATGAAGGCCTTATCTTTGAGCCGAAACATAAAAAATAAAATATAATTTATTTATTTTTGCTTTGCTACCTGTCTATCTTAAGACCCTAACCAATTTCTCTTCGATGAGTGTTTTAATTTTTTTTTTTTACATCATATTTAACCATTTATTCTTCTTATTCTCTCATCTTAAGAGACAGTTATTTATTTCAGATAAACCATACTAAAGCTCTTTTGGACATATTTAATGCTAATTTATATGAACAATATTGTTATTCTTAAGGTATTTTGTCTCAGAGTAAAGTTGATATTTCCATTTTATTATATTCTATAGGTACTTTAGAGGTAGCCATTTTGAAAAAAATCTATAGTGACCCATCTTTCTGCAGATTATTGATTGGTGGAAGGAGTTTAGATGATTTTACGTTAACTTAACTTGATAGTTTTCTAAAATAAACATTTATTTTTTATTTTGAAACGACAAGAAACTGCTCGATGTTTTCGACTACTCCAGCACTTACTAGGCAAACACTCTATACTTTCTATATATTACAAAAGACTCATATACATGACTATAATAAGGCCAATTTGGACTTTCAGAATTGAGTTTAAACCATCAAAAACCTCAAATTACAATCCAAAATCCTTTGTAAAATCCTCAATGCTCCTTACTTTGTCACGAATAAAATCATTCATAACGACCTAAACATACCATATATTTCCCGTTTAGCCCAATCCAGGTACCTATCCTTCCATAATAAACTTCAAAACCATCCGAACCCTCTCGTTTCAAACTGTGCTTCCTCTTCGATATCTGATAACCCTCCAAGGCGTCTGAAAAGAAGAAAAGAAGGCCTCGTGATCTCCTAATTTAGATACTTTATTAGAGTGCTACCAATGGGTAGATTCTCTACAAATCTTTTCATCCCATTGTATTTATCTGTATCACATTTACTTGATGTATTTTTAAATTTGTACAGTTATAAATCTTATGAATAAATAAAAATTTTTTTTTTTAAATTTAATTTATATTTAATAAATGAATATTCATTTGATTCTGCAGGTATATGAGTGGTAAGAGAGCTCCTCATAATTGATCGCTGAAACGACTGCACTTGAAAAGTTCTTAACTTAAGAGAAACTTTTCTTCACGTTCTAGACATTGGCATCGTGTGCATAGTTGGTGAATTTAAAAAAAAAGTTATTTTATTTTATTTATTCCGTATTTATAAAATACTCAAGATTTATTGTTGTTATTGTTATTACGCATGCGATGTTTCATTGCGTCGCATGTACTATTAGTCAAGCTCGAGATTGGTCAAGTATTGAATACTTTTTGTTTAAAACTTGACTTATCCTGCCCAATTTTTTTTTTTTTTATGATTATTATTATTTAAATTATTTTTATTTTTTGTACTTATATATGTTAAGTGAATTTTTTGTCCAGGTTGACTGTGGATAAAAAGTATAATTGAATTGATGAGATATTTAGAAATGTTTCTAAAGTCTTGAAAAAAGTATGTGATATTTTAAATTGTATAAAATATGTTATGATTGGTATTAATCTTCGTGCTGGATTTAAAATTTTTCTTTCTTTTTTATTATTGCTCAGGAGAAATTTCTTTTTGATTTCCTTCGAACCATGAGCTCATGTTGACCTCTTTTATTTTTTCCTTATAACCAATTATTTTTGTTGTTTCATAAGTTTAATCATATAATCAGCAACAATTATATGTGTAATTTTTTTACTTTCACTTACCTGTATATATAATATATAGCAAGAGTAACTGTTGTGATCCTGAAAATTTTTGAATCTGAGTTTTCAACGAAAATAAACATTTTGAGGTCCCCTGAGTCCAAATAATCAAGTCGCGCAAAATGGTCTGTGTGTGTATGAATGTGAACAGTCTAGCTCAAAAATGAAAAGTCGTACAAAAGTGAAATTGCACATTTAAGGTTTTTATTTGCTTTGGATGTTACAGCAACTTCTTCAACAAAATCGGCTAACCGGAAATGGCACTTTATATCATGGACTAAACATATTTTTACGATTTTCTCGAAAACGGCTCCAACGATTTTGATTAGATCTGCCCATCTTAATCTCCTTGCCTTCATATCACTGTTAGCAGTTCTTTATTAGTCCTTCCCCTTCATGTGTTAGGACTGTGATCACTCTAGTTATTATTATTTAGAGGTTTTCCTCTCAAATCTTTTTTCTTTCTCGGGCACTGGTTATATATTTCAGATAACGCAGCCAAACACTTTGAGATTTCTAGAGATTTTTCAAGATTTCAATAACTTCAAAAGAAGGAAAAAGCTCTGTTTGGGGTTTGTTATACATTTGTCAAGGTATTTGAATTTGTTTTTTCTTGGTATCAATTTCCTTTCTACACAGATCCTTTTGTTGGGATAAAATTTTCGGCTTATCATATATTTTGTTTTATCTTCTCTTCATAATGTTAGAGTCTTAAGGAGTCTCTCTCTATCATATTGGATGATACATATATATCATTCATCAAACAAATTATGGTGTTTTAGATAATTTTTTTGTAATATAAAATTATTTTTTCATCAATTTTTTTTTCTAATTGTATTTTTAAAACTATTTATTAAGAAAATGGTTTCATACCAATAAAGATTATTTGTTTTTTTTATGACAAGAAGTTTAAAAGTCAGTTTTAAAGATAATATTTTTATTGTCTTTAATGTCAATGAGGCCTATTGATAGTTTTATTTCTGTTAATGTTTTAAATAAAGAATTATTTGTTTTATTTATTCTTGGTGCTACGGTTCTATAAGAACCTAGGCCTCTCTTATGATCTTTCGCCACTCTCTTCTATCCCGAGCGAGCATTCTACATCTTCGAATTCCCATCCTTTTCAGGCTGTCCTTTACCTTGTCAAGCCATCTCAGGCGTGGTCTTCCTCTTTCACGTTTTCCAGCAGGTCGATCCTCTAGCAAGCAATTGGGAATTGCATCTCGGGGGATGGCCCAACCATCTGATCTATCTGGTTTCCCGTCACAATTGAGACTCTAGCATACATTTCATACAACTCTTTATTAGTGCGAATTCTCCATTATCCCAGTTCACACACCGGCCATAGTTCCTGCGGAGAACTCATCTCTCCCGTGCGAGTAGTATTTTTTCCGATGCTTTGGAGATCACCCAAGTCTCAGAGCCATAGGTGGCAACAGGTCTGATGTCTTCCTCATTACAGCTCATATTATAAATCGTGCTACCAGGAGATGTCCGGATCGCCCTTATTCCATACTCTAAAGCAATATTAAATAGAGTAAGGGATAAAGGATCTCCTTGCCTAAGCCCATCTTTCACCTCGAAATCCTCTGACAATTGGCCATTAATCTTCGCAACTGATCTACTACCGCTTAGAGTCATTCTTATCAAAGTGACCAGTTTTTTGGGAATCCCCAATTTGGTCATTATCTTCAGTAATTCTCCTCTGCTTATATTATCATATGTCTGTTTAAAATCTATGAAAACGTGATATAAGTCCATTTGGTATTGGCATGTTTAAATAAAGAATTAGAAATATGTTATTATTTATTTGCTATATTTATTTAAAGCTTATGGAACAACTTAACTCTTTGGTCTAATCCAGAGGTCTCCAAACTATGGTCTGTGGCCGGTAAAAGTTTCTTTGATTATAGGATAAAATTTTAAAACTATTTAAAAGATACGAAATTTAGTAAATCACTCAAACAACATTTATTGCATGAATTGTTTCTCTTAGAAAGCTCATATCACAACTGAAATGTCATTTATTCTTCACATGCCTAGACCCGCAGGACTTTTTGGAAGTCTTGTTGTGGCCCACAGGCCAAAAAGTTTGAAGATCCCTGTTTTAATCAACCACTCCTGATTTCATTTGTAGATATTGGAAATATTTACATTTTTTATTTTCTTAATTCAGTAATGCATAGTTCTTATGCCTGTTCTCCGTCCTTCTAGTAATTCTTCCAAAAAAAAAAAATATATGTATATATGTTAGTATGGTACACATATCTATATGCCTTCTGTCGCTAGTCTACTGATTCCTTTTAGCCTTGATATAATTTTCTGTTTTATAATTTTTAAAATATTATAGATTTTATAATTCATGTGCTGTCCTTGTTTTATATTGTATACTCGTTAACCGTCATTTTTTAATATTATTTTTTAATTTTTAACATAGAATTTTACACTCTGGCTACTTATTAATCTAAAAGGTTTTGAATTATTGAAGGAAGTTAGTCGACTGTTCTACATATCATGGGTGATAAATATTCAGGACACAGTCATTATAATGTGTAAATAACATGTTAAAGGTTAATTTTAAATATTCCTTTTGGGCGGGAATAAGCGCATAGCCTTCAGCTTTTACATCGGGGGAACTAGGTTATTTACACTCGTGATTATTAAAACAAAACCCCGGCACTGGATATAGACTTTTGAGGGTGTTTAACTGTTGTTGGAGATTCGGGAATCTAATACCTTTTGTGACATTGAGTGAGAAGAAACAACATAGTCAAAGAAGTATCTAAGGCATTTCAATTTCAAACTCCCTTAATCTATTTTATCAATCTTGAATGAATAAATTGTTTTCCGATCTCCTCAAAAATTATTAAACATATTAATAAACAATCACGGTTTTTATAAATTGTCAATACATTACATGTCATAACTTCCTATTTTTTCCTACCTTTTTATTTTTATACTGATTTTTGCATCTTTGTTTTCTTTAATCTCCTTCCTCACCTTTTAGGCTACACAGGGTTTTTCCCGGTCCAGGGGAGAGAGTGGGGGAATTATATCAGAGTTAAAAACCCCCGGAATTGGAATTTGAGCTCATAAACTTCGGTTTATCAGAGGTTGCTCCAGGTAGCGCATATGTTTAGCACACGTGTTACCCTATGATTTTTTATATCTTTTTAAATTGTTTATAACAAGAGTGAAAAACAAAACATAAATTTAAACAAAATTTAATTATCCATTCTTATTTATGAAAATTATGTTTGTTTTTTTTTTATTTTTAATTTTCCTAATTATGAGTATTTGTTTGTCCTAAGACCTAACTATATTTTTGTTGATTATTTTATTCTGTCAGTTTATTAAAGTAGACATCAAGCTTTTGGATAAGACTCTATGTACCCAACTTATATAGAAAATTGAATGTTTAGAACTAATATAATATTCTGCCGTTCCATTACACCCCTATTAGTTCTGCATATGCGTATGGCTTAGTAAAAACAAGTTTTGACTGGTTTATATTAGTTCTAAGCATATTAAACGGTAACATATCTATTAATGAAGGCTAATAGATTGTGGCGTATTGTAACGTGGCCAGGCGTTGAAACAATGAAACTTTTTAATTAAAATCTTTCTTTATATCAGAGATAGATCTTAATAAGATTCATTGGTTTTGTTCCCTGTCGAGATTAGAGTCAATTACTAAAGTTTAGGATGTAGTTAATGTTAAAGGTTGTAAGTCATTACTTAAAAGATTAGATAATGTTCGGGTTGTAAGTTAATCACGTTATAACTAACTTATATTCTTTTATGTTCTTTAATATTTGTTAGTTTGAAATTAAATTCATAAGTTAACTATAATCCAATCAAATTCATTCAAGAATTATTATTATTATTGTTATTACTGAAAAGTTAAAGATATGCTTGATGGTGGAAACGAGTTTCTTACTTACCATTTGCAGACTGGCTTGGTTTATCATTCCATGATGGAAGCTATTTTGTATATATATATATATGTGTGTTAAAATTTAAGTTATCTATATCACGTTACCTTATATAATAAGTTTTTGAAACTGATTAATTGTATAAATACTGTATTAATCCTTATTAGTCGGTCCGATGCACTGAAACGAGTTATTTGAGGCACCTTCTTCCATCAGAACAACCTTTGATCCTTGAATAATTTTAATTATTTTTGTCATTTTTTAAACTCTATTTTTGTTAAAATTTTCTTTTGATTTTCCTCGGTTGCCATTAAGCAATTATACATCTAGAAAAAAAATAAAGAAATAAAATTTAGGACACACATGCCTGCGAGGCGTTTAGGTTGGTATCGATGAAATACATCTATATGGTCTCCATGTGTTGCGATCCCTAAACTAAGTTTATTTTTTACTCTTGTTTACTTTTTGATTATTTAACTGCCACGGTGTGGTCTCTGTGAGAGCTATTACTATGTATCATAGGGGATTGTTCCATCGCCAACACTCGACCGAGGCGCAGTGCGGGCATATGTATTCTAACATTATAGTACATTTAAATTAATTTCCTGAAAAGTCAAGTTTAGTTAATCTAAACCATTATTAGAACAATGGTTTATTTAAATTGTTTAATTTCGACCAACGTCTTTATTCTGGTCATTATAAGTTTGTTGTACCTTTTTAATTGTGCCAATTTATATTTATTTAGTTTAAATATATTTTTGTAAAATTGTTAAAAGTGATATTTATTATTATTTTTTATTTTTTAATGATCTAACCTTTTCTATTCGCAAGTGCCTTTTATATGTTATTTGAGTACTATTTTTTTTTTTCATATCAGTTCCAGAATGAAAGAGATATGATTAATATGATTTCTAAAATCAGAAATTTTAATGTTTTGATCTCTATGATCTTAGATAACAGCCATGCCTCACATATCAGAATATACAATTTGGTAAAATAGGTTATCTGCTAGCTAGTATATTAGCATATCCCTTTCATTCTGAATATGTGATATCGCCACTACTCGAATAGATGTCGTATGTAAAAATTGAGTTTTAAAAACCAAGCATTTCTTTATGATTTATTAGTATAATTTCATATTTTATTTCCCTCTGTTGTTTTCCTATTTAACAGACTACTTAAAGCAGCTGGAAACTATAATAAGTCATCTTTAGCTCTAAGCGAGTAAAGCTGTAACATTGTTACATACGAGTTTTTTTGCATTTGCATTAGCGATATATATATATTCATTAGAATTATTGAGGAGTTGGCTATCATAACTGGACATCTACATTTCCACTTTTGTTCCCAAAATGACAGTAAAAACTAATTTTTCTATCATTTGGGTATGTTCAATTTATTTTAAACAATCATGTTTCTATTTAATATTTTATTGAGGCCCATTTCTTATTAAAGTACATTTTAAAAAATTCAGTTTTAGTCAAGGTGGGGATGCTTACTGAAAGCAAGCTCCTCAATTATCTTTAAGTTTTTATTATATATATATATATATATATATATATATATATATATATATATATATATATATATAAATTATTTTAGTTACAGAAGTGACTTTATGCTTGCCAATTTTCAAGAAATATATTCTATCATTTATTAATAAAAGATAGATAATTTTTGTCAATGGTTTTTCCTGTGTAATGCATCTTTGGATTGGTTGAGTGGAAGGTTTTCTATAAATCTGAGACAAAAAACAAAAGAAAATCAAGAAACTACTTTTTAAAATTTTATTAACTTCAGCAACTAGACTTTCTTTAAATTTATTTTATTTGTCAAAAAAAATTTACATATATTTTTTTTAATGTTTTTTAATATTTCTTTTAATGTTTTTTTTAATAACCCAATATAATTGGGCAGCAATCCTTTATATTTTATGAAAATAAAGTGTTTCTCTCCCTACAAGCCAATTTATTCAGTTTAATTCATTTAGTTATTTATGAAATGTGACTTAAGCTAATCTGTCAAAAAACATGATGCTCTCGGCTAGCTTGAGTATTCCATGACCAGTGTGGTCATGTGATCTTAACACATCGCCTGTAAACCTGATGTGCCACTTCTATAGAATTATTAAATATTTTTTTCTATAATAATAATAAAAGGATTAGCAAACCTGAAGGTTCGATGCCGACACTACTACTTATTACACACCTCCATCCACCAGTCGCCGTCTAAACC